AATAATGGGGCAGTTAATAAATAAAAATGGGGCAGTTAATAAAAAAAAATAATGGCAGTTAATAAAAAAAAAACAGTTATTAAAAAAAAAACGTAATGGTGATTTCACAAAATCTTTTCATCCACACAGACGGTCGCCAACCTGATTGAGAGGAGACAGTCCGAGACCAAAGAAAACAAGTGAGTTCCTGGATTTCCTTTTAAATGGCTTTATCTGTGTCCCCCCGTTGACCAGATTTCTTATCACTTCCTGTCCTGGCAGGAAGTGAGGGTAAATCACCCCAATGGGGACACAGACAGCAAATAATACCTGCCAGAGGCTCTACCCCCTTGACGGATCGATCCAAAATGAAAAGTTTTGCTTAACCACTTCAATATTTATTTCAGGTACTTATATAGCGCCGTCAATTTACGCAGCACTTTACATATATATTGTACATTCACATCAGTCCCCCCCCCCAGGAGCGTACAATCTAAGGTCCCTAACTCACATTCATACATACACATACTAGGGACAATTTAGACAGGAGCCATTTCTCCTACCAGCATGTCTTTGGAATGTGGGAGGAAACCAGAGTACCCAGAGGAAACCCACACAAGCACAGGGAGAACATGCAAACTCCAGGCAGGTGGCGCCGTGGATGGAATTCCAACCAACGACCCTAGTGCTGCCACACGGTGGGCACATGGAGCACCCACAGACAGCGATTGCCACCCTTCTGACCCAATGAGACCCCAGCATGGTCTGAGAATACAGCCTGTTCACCCCCCCACCTCCGAGGGGAAGCTTGATAAAGAAATGGAGTCAGGACCCCCCCCCCCCCCCCCCCCCCCCGTAGCAAAGAGAATGAAATGGGGGGAAAAAAGAAAAAAAAAAAACTTGACGAATGAAAAATGTTTTGTATCGGTCAGGCGCCTGATGGAGAAGTCGCAGAGGATCGAGGCAATCATTGCATCTATGCAGGCCACGGGGGCCGAGGAGGCTCAGCTCCAGGAGATCGAGGAGATGATCACCGCGCCCGAGCGACAGCAGCTGGAGAGCCTCAAACGGAACGTCAACAAGTAAGACCTTCTAGAGTCTTGGTGCCCATCCTTCAGGACTTGTAGCGGCCCTCACCCCCACGGGTGTCCCTAGGGTTGGTGTCACCCCCTCTGACGATCCCCCCACAGGATGGATCGGATCTGCGGATTGAGTGTAATGGATCAGAATCCGATCCGTTATCATCCCCAATCCGCAGATCCGATCCATCCTGCGGGGGGATCGTCGGCTTGCTTTAACCACCTCCCATCCGGCCATTGTATATAAACAGCCGGACAGTGGCACTGCAGGGGCGGGTGGACGTTTATAAACTAACACCGATCGTCGGACGGGACCTCTGTGTGAGTTCCTGATCATGTGATCACTTATTGGCCAATCAGTGATCACATTCAGAGTAGTAAGCAATGATGTCACTTTGTGACATCATTGCTTACTATGTGTGAAATCCTATGAATGATCACAGAGGTCACATGGTACAGGGCCATTCACAACAGCCTTGTACCTTGTCACAAGCTGTGACCAATCACAGCTCACACAGTAGTTCTTAATGGCTGCAAGAATGCAGACAGAGAGAAGGAGAAATGATTGCTTTTACAGCCTTTATGGGTGTAAAAGCAATCAGTGTAAAGAAAAAAAAAAAAAAAATCTTCATCATCCCCCACAAGTAGTACAGTGTCACCATGGTGACTGCACTGCTAGGGTGACAGTATGTAAAAAAAAAAAAATAAAAAGTAATATTAAAAAAAAATGTTTAAAAATTATAATTTTTGGTTATAAACTAATTTGGGTTATTTTTTTTTTTTTTTTTTTACTAAAAATATAACGGAATAAATTTTGGCCAAGATTTATGAAGAAAGAGTATTTATTTGCAAAATTTTATAAGAAAAAACACTTTTTTTTTTTAATTCGAAATTTTTTGGACTTTTTAATTTACATAGCAAAAAAAATAAAAATCCCAGCGGTGAATAAATACCACCAAAATAAAGCTTTATCTGTCTCAAAAAATGCTAAATAATTCATATGGGTACAGTGTTGCATGACCGCGCAATTGTCATTCAAAGTGTGATAGCGCTGAAAGCTGAAAATTGGCCTGGGGGGGAAAGGGGGAAAGTATCCGGGGGGAAAGTGTCCGGACCGGAAGGGGGGGGAAAGTGTCCGGACCGGAAGGGGGTGAAAGCGTCCGGACCGGAAGGGGGTGAAAGTGTCCGGACCGGAAGGGGGTGAAAGCGTCCGGACCGGAAGGGGGTGAAAGCGTCCGGACCGGAAGGGGGTGAAAGCGTCCGGACCGGAAGGGGGTGAAAGCGTCCGGACCGGAAGGGGGGGAAAGCGTCCGGACCGAAGGGGGTAAAAGGTCCGGACCGGAAGGAGGTGAAAGCGTCCGGACCGGAAAGGGGGGGGAAAGCGTCCGGACCGGAAGGGGGGGGGAAAAAGCGTCCGGACCGGAAGGGGGGGGGGAAAGCGTCCGGACCGGAAGGGGGGGAAAGCGTCCGGACCGGAAGGGGGGAAAAAAGCGTCCGGACCGGAAGGGGGGGTGAAAGCGTCCGGACCGGAAGGGGGTGAAAGCGTCCGGACCGGAAGGGGGGGGTGAAAGCGTCCGGACCGGAAGGGGGTGAAAGCGTCCGGACCGGAAGGGGGTGAAAGCGTCGGGACCGGAAGGGGGTGAAAGCGTCGGGACCGGAAGGGGTGAAAGCGTCGGGACCGGAAGGGGGGGTGAAAGCGTCGGGACCGGAAGGGGGTGAAAGCGTCCGGGACCCGGAAGGGGGGGTGAAAGCGAAAGCGTCGGGACCGGAAGGGGGTGAAAGCGTCCGGACCGGAAGGGGGTGAAAGCGTCGGGACCCGGAAAGGGGGGGAAAGCGTCGGGACCGGAAGGGGGGGAAAGCGTCGGGACCGGAACGGGGTGAAAGCGTCGGGACCGGAAGGGGGGGGGGGGGAAAGCGTCGGGACCGGAAGGGGGGGAAAGCGTCGGGACCGGAAGGGGGGGGGAAAGCGTCGGGACCGGAAGGGGGTGACAGTGTCCGGACTGGAAGGGGGTGACAGTGTCCGGACTGGAAGGGGAGGAAAGCGTCCGGACTGGAAGGGGAGGAAAGCGTCCGGACTGGAAGGGGGTGAAAGCGTCCGGACTGGAAGGGGGTGAAAGCGTCCGGACGGAAGGAAAGGGGGGGGGAAAGCGTTTTGGACTGGAAAGGGGGGGGGAAAGCGTCCGGACTGGAAAGGGGGGGGGAAAGCGTCCGGACTGGAAAAAGGGGGGGGGGTGAAAAGCGTCCGGACTGGAAGGGGGGGGAAAAGCGTCCGGACAGGAAGGGGGGAAAGCGTCGGGACTGGAAGGGGGGGAAAGCGTCGGGACTGGAAGGGGGGGGGGTGGAGCGTCGGGACTGGAAGGGGGGGAAAGCGTCCGGGACTGGAAGGGGGGAAAGCGTCGGGACTGGAAGGGGGGGGAAAGCGTCGGGACTGGAAGGGGGGGAAAGTGTCCGGACGTCCGGGATGCGGGCAGACGCTGTAGTACAGCCGAGCAGACAAAGCCTAAGGAATCGTTCTTGTTCCAAATTTTTATTTGATATTGTTGCCTCCCCTCCAGGTTGGACGCCAGTGAAATCCAAGTGGATGACACCATCTTTATACTGAGTCATATATTAACAGCACAAAGACCAGAGCCTGACCCTGGAGAGGAGGAGAGCGTTCACCGACATCGTCTTCTGTGTTCACCATCCACCGTCTTCTGTGTTCACCATCCACCGTCTTCTGTGTTCACCATCCACCGTCTTCTGTGTTCACCATCCACCGTCTTCTGTGTTCACCGACACACCCGTCATGTCTGTCCCACACGGGAAATAAAAGTCTGATTCACCCGCTGTCTGAGGTTGTGATTGACTGTTCAGTGCAGGCACCCCCCTCCCCCACAGAGGGCTACAGAACACATACCTTTTTTCTTCCTTCTTTCTTCATTCTTCTTTTTTCCTGCTTCTTTCTTTCTTTTTTCTTCTTTCTTTTTTTTAATTCTGTCTCTTTTTTCTTTTTTTTTTCCTTCCTTTCTTTCTTTCTTTCTTTTTTTTTTTTTTATTCTGTCTTTCTCTTTTTGCTTCTTTATTACTTTTTTTTTTTTTTTCTTTTTATTATAAAATGTATACAGGTAATGCTATCAATGACGCATTCCATTAGCCCTCATACAGTAACCAAGAAGGCAAAAACCTATTTTGAGATTTGGGGAGAAAATTTTAGAAAAGAGGGAATCTGGTTTCCAATCCGCTAACATTCATGGAAGGTTGTCATATCTTATCTCTGGATCTCTGGGAGTGGATGATGATGATGATGATGATGATGATGATGGTGGCGGGTATGGCATGGCATGGCATATTATGGCAGTCAGATTGGATTGGGTGGGGTGGGGGGGTTCTAAGGTTGCATCAAGGAAATTCTCGAGGGGTGACTACAAAAGAGAAGAATGTCTCCGGGCTCATTAAAATTCCCAGCATGCACCTAGGTAGATAAAAGGGGATGGTGGACTACAAGTCCCAGTGTATGAAAGGTGATATAATGAATAAAACTAATAAATGTCATAAAATTAGTATAATAATGTATTAAATGTCATACAATAGATAATATAATGTATAATAAATATAATTGTAGTATAATAAAGACTATTGTAATAAATGTGAATCCATATAATATAATACAAGTGGTAAAAACATTTCCTTGTGATAGTGAGCTGTCACTCAAGGCAAGGGGGGCGGGACCGGGGAGTGGCAGCTACAGAAGAAGGCGTGGTCTGTTCGTAACATCACGCTCTTGCCTGACTGAGCTGGGCGCTGTGGGGAGGTTTGTCTCAGGCCACGCCCTCTCACTACAACTGAACGTGACCGTTATACACCCGAAGTGAGACATGATACACCCGGAAGTGTCCAGTACTACACCCGGAAGTGCGGCATTAAGTGATCTTTACACCCTGAGCCGGGAGTAGGGCACACATGGACGCCTGGGTGAGGTTCAGCAGCCAGAGCCAGGCCAAGGAGCGGCTCATCAGGTGATTCCTCTCTGTCCGGGTCACTGACAGCAGTCTGGGAGGGGGACTACAAGGCCCAGCATGGTTATGAGAGCCCTGGAGGAGGGAGGGACCATAAGGAACCAAGCCCAGAGGAAAGATTCACTACAGGTCCCAGCATGCATGGGGGGGTGGACTATAGGTCCCAGCATGCCTTGGAGGGGTGGACTATAGGTCCCAGCATGCCTTGGAGGGGATGGTATCAGCATGCATTGGGGGGGTGGACTACAGGTCCCAGCATACCTTGGTGGGGGGTGTGTGTGGGGGGGAAATGGACTACAGGTCCCAGCATACCTTGGTGTGGCGGGGGGAATTGACTACATGTCCCAGCATACCTTGGTGTGGGGGGAATTGACTACATGTCCCAGCATACCTTGGTGTGGGGGGGATGGACCACGGGTCCCAGCATACCTTGGTGTGGGGGGTGGACCACGGGTTCCAGCATGCCTGGCGGGGGGGATGGACCACGGGTTTCCAGCACGCCTTGGCGTGGGGGGGGGGATGGACCACGGGTTCCAGCACGCCTTGGCGTGGGGGGGGATGGACCACGGGTTCCAGCACGCCTTGGTGGGGGGGGGGGATGGACCACGGGTTCCAGCACGCCTTGGCTGGGGGGGATGGACCACGGGTTTCCCAGCACGCCTTGGCCTGTGGGGGGGGATGGACCACGGGTTTCCCAGCACGCCTTGGTGTGGGGGGGGATGGACCACGGGTTCCAGCACGCCTTGGCGTGGGGGGGGATGGACCACGGGTCCCAGCACGCCTTGGTGTGGGGGGGGGGGATGGACCACGGGTCCCAGCACGCCTTGGCGTGTGGGGGGGGATGGACCACGGGTCCCAGCACGCCTTGGCGTGGGGGGGGGATGGACCACGGGTCCCAGCACGCCTTGGCGTGGGGGGGAATGGACCACGGGTCCCAGCACGCCTTGGCGTGGGGGGGGATGGACCACGGGGGTCCCAGCATGCCTTGGCGTGGGGGGGATGGACCACGGGTCCCAGCACGCCTTGGCGTGGGGGGGGGGGATGGACCACGGTCCCAGCATGCCTTGGTGTGGGGGGGGGGGGGATGGACCACGGGTCCCAGCACGCCTTGGTGTGTGTGTGTGGTGGGGGGGGGGGGGATGGACCACGGGTTCCAGCATGCCTTGGTGTGGGGGGGGGATGGACCACGGGTCCCAGCACGCCTTGGTGTGTGTGTGTGGGGGGGACCACGGGTCCCAGCATGCCTTGGTGTGGGGGATGGACCACGGGTCCCAGCATGCCTTGGTGTGGGGGGATGGACCACGGGTCCCAGCATGCCTTGGTGTGGGGGGATGGACCACGGGTCCCAGCATGCCTTGGTGTGGGGGGGGGATGGACCACGGGTCCTAGCATGCCTTGGTGTGGGGGGGATGGACCACGGGTGCCAGCATATCTTGGTGTGGGGGGGATGGACCACAGGTACCAGCACGCCTTGGTGTGTGTGTGTGTGGGGGGGGGGGGATGGACCACGGGTCCCAGCATGCCTTGGTGTGGGGGGGATGGACCACGGGTCCTAGCATGCCTTGGTGTGGGGGGGATGGACCATGGGTCCTAGCATGCCTTGGTGTGGGGGGGATGGACCACGGGTGCCAGCATATCTTGGTGTGGGGGGATGGACCACAGGTCCCAGCATGCCTTGGGGGGGGGGGGGGGGATGGTCTCAGCATGGATTGTGGTGGTGGACTACAGGTCCCAGGATACATTGCTCCACACACCAAACACTGTAATTAAAGGGACGCTCCACCTCTGTACTATGTGACTTCCATATTTCGGATACACGGTTGCATTTCCTATCCACCACCCACACACCGCCCTTCCCCCACTTATCTCAAACCCCCCCCCCTTTTTTTTTTTTTGTATTGTGTGTGTTCTCCGCCCACAACACTGTATCCTCCATCTACAGAGGGAGTCACAGTTAGCGCCGGCGACAGGGAGGTGACACCCCCGCATTTGTACTTTTATCATGTTTATTCCCCATGACAGAAAGGGGTGGGGCCTGAGTGCCGATCGCGGGCGCAATGCTCTGCAGACGTCTATGGAAGCGTAGATTCACATTTTACTCTATTGATGTTGGGGAGCGTTTTTGTAAAAGGTGGAGTGTCCCTTTAAGTGGAGTGTCCCTTTAAGTGGAGTGTCCCTTTAAAGGCTGGACTCTGCTTGAGGTCCCCCTCCTGGGTGGTAACCTGTCTCTTGCTCCTCGGGGGAGGAGACATGTCACCATGTTATATAGGAGGGTCCTTCTGGGTTTGTATATTTATGCGCGGACTCTCCGTGACCTGCCTAGGTGCTCTTTATTTGGGGGGGTGGTAAAAGCAGGACGCGACCTGGTCGCGGTGATGCCACCATAGCTTACGTTGTCTTCTTTACTCCTAGAGCCGCCCAGTACGCCTGCACGTTGCTCGGGTACACGCTGCAGAGGAATGGAGCCGGCGCAGAGCTCGTCACCGCCATCAAACAGCTGGAGGCGCACTTTAGCCTCAGCCGGAAACGTAAGTGACACAAAGAGCCGCGTTGCATAGAGAAGTAGAGAGACCCAGTGATGACATCACCAGACCTAGAATAAGATATGTACTGAAAAGGGAAAAGTTTTATTTAACCCCTCCCCCTCCAGAGGATTTCCGCCCCTTCCTTTTTTTGGCCACTCCCTCTGGGGGGTGGGCACAGATACATCACACCCATGAATAATGCCAGTATGTGATCATTAACCCCTCCCTCCGGACGATTTCCCCTCCCCCCCCCCCCCCCCCCCCCTCTACCTGAACAGGCCTTTTTTTATCGATACGGCGCTGCGTTACTTTAACTGACAATTGCGCAATCGTGCAACACTGCACCCCCAAATTACAGATTACAGGTACGTCTTTTATTTCCCCACAAATTGAGCGCCTCTGCGTTATTAAAAAGAATAGACTGACATTTTGAAAAACAAATATTTTTTTTTTTACTTTTTGCTATTAACCACTTCCAGTCCAGACACTTCCCCCCCCCCCCCCCCCCCTTCCAGTCCGGAAGCTCCCCCCCCCCCCCCCCCCGTTCCAGTCCGGACGCGCTCCCCCCCCCCCTTCCAGTCCAGAGACTCCCCCCCCCCCCCCCCCCCTCCAGTCCGGACGCTTCCCCCCCCCCCCCCCCCCTCCACCAGTCTGGACGTTCCCCCCCCCCCCCCCTTCCAGTCCGGACGCTCCCCCCCCCCCCTTCCAGTCCGGACGCTCCCCCCCCCCCCCCCCCCTTGCCCTGTCCGGGACGCTCCCCCCCCCCCTTCCAGTCCGGACGCTTCCCCCCCCCCCTTCCAGTCCGGACGCTCCCCCCCCCCCTTCCCAGTCCGGACGCCCCCCCCCCCCCCCCCTTCCAGTCCGGACGCTCCCCCCCCCCCCCCACTTCTCCGGACGCTCCCCCCCCCCTTTCCGGAACACCAGAATCTCCCCCCCCCCCCCCACTTCCAGTCCGGACTCTCCCCCCCCCCACTTCCAGTCCCGACTCTCCCCCCCCCCCCCACTTCCAGTCCGGACTCTCCCCCCCCCCCACTTCCAGTCCGGACTCTCCCCCCCCCCCCCCACTTCCAGTCCGGACGCTCCCCCCCCCCCCCCCCCCCCCCGCCCCCCACCTTCCAGTCCGGATGCCTCCCCCCCCCCCACTTTCCAGTCCGGATGCTCCCCCCCCCCCCCCCCCAACTTTCCAGTCCGACGCTTTCCCCCCCCCCCCCCCCTTCCAGTCCGGATGCTCCCCCCCCCCCCCCCCATTCCAGTCCGGATGCTCCCCCCCCCCCCCCCTTCCAGTCCGGACGCTTCCCCCCCCCCCCCCCTTCCCTGTCCACCGCCAATTTCCAATTTTCAGTTTTCGGCGCTATCACACTTTGAATGACAATTGCGCGGTCATGCAACACTGTACCCATATGAATTTTTTTGCATTTTTTTGAGACAGATTAAAGCTTTATTTTGGTGGTATTTATTCACCGCTGGAATTTTTATTTTTTTTGCTATATAAATGAAAAAGTTCAAATATTTTGAAAAAAAGTGTTTTTCTATAAAATTTGCAAATAAATAATATTTTATCATAAATATTGGCCAAAATGTATTCTGTTTATCTTTTTAGTAAAAAAAAAAAAAATACCCCAAATGAGTTTATAACAAAATATAATTTTTAAACTTTTTTTTTTTACATTTTTATTTTTTATATTTGTTTTATTTTATTTTTTTTTACATACTGTCACCCTAGCAGTACAGTGTCACCATGGTGACACTGTAATGCTTGTGGGGGGGTGATGATTTTTTTTTTCTTTTTCTCTACTAGTAATGGCGGCGATCAGCGATATATAGCGGGGCTGTGGCGTGCATTCTGACACTGTGGGGGGGGGGGGGGGAACTGACTTGGTGTCACTGACATCCTCAGTGACACCAATACAGTGATCAGTGCTAATAAAAAGCACCGACACTGTACTAATGGCGCTGGGCAGGAAGGGGTTAACATGAGGGGCGATCAAAGGGTTAACTGTGTGTGCTAGGAGACATGCTGCTATGCAGAGAGATATAAAGCAGCATGTCCTTGCTGGCAGGAGCAAGACCTGTGTTGTTTACATACAGACCTCTCCCCTGTCAGCTCCGCGGATGATCGCCGAGTCCTGACCCAGAATGGGCGGATGGGACACGGTGATTGAAATGCCGAAGAGACAATAGCAGCTGAAGCCTTGAGAACTCCCACTAGCATCCCGTGACCCCAAACGTTCTTCTGAGAACTTGGCTGAAACCTTGAGACCCCCACTGGTATCCCGTGACCCGTGACCCCAAACGTTCTTCTGAGAAATTGGCTGAAACTATGAGACCCCCCACTGGTGTCCTTTTGTTCTCATAAGTTCTTCCAAGAACTTGGCTGAAGCCTTGAGATCTCCACTGGTATCCCGTGACCCCAAACGTTCTTCTGAGAACTTGGCTGAAGTCTTGAGATCTCCACTGATATCCCGTGACCCCAAACGTTCTTCTGAGAACTTGGCTGAAACCTTGAGACCCCCACTGGTGTCCCGTGACCCCAAATGTTCTTCCAAGAACTTGGCTGAAACCTTGAGACCCCCACTGGTGTCCTTTTTGTTCTCATAAGTTCTTCTGAGAACTTGGCTGAAGTCTTGAGATCTCCACTGGTATCCCGTGACACCAAACGTTCTTCTGAGAACTTGGCTGAAGTCTTGAGATCTCCACTGATATCCCGTGACCCCAAATGTTCTGAGAACTTGGCTGAAACCTTGAGACCCCCACTGGTGTCCCCTACCCGGAAGTGCACAATGTACTTCCGCTATAGGGCGGTCGGGAAGCGGTTAATCACGTCATCATCACATTTATGAGGGGGAACCAGGGAAGGCAAACGATAGGCAGATTACACGCCGCCTTGAATTATATGAAGTTTGGGGGGGTAACAACACTTTCTTTGCCTCTCAGTGTTCCGGTTGGGGAACTCCGCGGACGCCTTGGAGTCGGCCAAGCGCGCCATACACCTATCGGACGTCGTCTTGCGGTTCTGCATCACGGTGAGCCACCTGAACCGCGCCATGTACTTCGCCTGCGACAACATCCTGTGGCTGGGGAAGACGGGGTTGTCACGGGAAATGGACCAGGAGAAGTGGAGCCAGCGGTCTTTCAGGTGAGCCCTCCCCCTTCCTGATCAGTCACGTGACTTCCTGTCTGGAACTCTTTTTTTAGTTTTTATGGAGAATAGCCTTGGTGGGAGGGGGCAACTCCATAGTAGGAGCCTTGGTGGGAGGTGGCGACTCCAAATTAGGAGCCATGGTGGGAGGGGGCAGCTCCATAGAAGGAGCCACGGAGGGAGTGGGCAGCTCCATAGAAGGAGCCACGGAGGGAGGGGGCAGCTCCATAGTAGGAGCCACGGAGGGAGGGGGCAGCTCCATAGTAGGAGCCACGGAGGGAGGGGGCAGCTCCATAGTAGGAGCCACGGAGGGAGGGGGCAGCTCCATAGTAGGAGCCACGGAGGGAGGGGGCAGCTCCATAGTAGGAGCCACGGAGGGAGGGGGCAGCTCCATAGTAGGAGCCACGGAGGGAGGGGGCAGCTCCATAGTAGGAGCCACGGAGGGAGGGGGCAGCTCCATAGTAGGAGCCACGGTGGGAGGGGGCAGCTCCATAGTAGGAGCCACGGTGGGAGGGGGCAGCTCCATTCTAATGGCCATGGTAGGAGGAGGAACTGTAGCTGTGATGGTCATGTGACCAGATACATTTGGCTGCATGGTGCGTCCCTTCCGTAGTCACACAATCTTTCATGTCCTCTCTCTAGGTATTACCTGTTCTCGCTCATCATGAACCTCAGTCGAGATCTCTACGAACTCAAACTCCTGTTGGAGGCTGAAACTGGGGGCAAGCGTTTCTCCTCCAAGTTGGCCGCTGAGAACGGGGTGGTCTCTCATGGCAGCCCCTCTCACCGGCAGATGGCGATCCTCCGACTCCGCCTCCTAATACACGTCCTCCGCAGCAACCCCCCTCTTCTGCTTGACCTGGCCAAGAACACCTGTGATCTTTTCATCCCTCTGGACAAGCTGGGCCTTTTCAAGACCAACCCGGGTTTTGTAGGGCTGTGCGGGCTGACGTCCTCCATATTGTCCATCCTGAGCATCGTCCACCCCTGGCTGAAGCTGAAGCCTTGAGACCCCCACTAGCATCCTGTGACCCCAAACGTTCTTCTGAGAACTTAGTTGAAACCTTGAGACCCCCACTGGTGTTCTTTTGTTTTCATAAGTTCTTCCAAGAACTTGGCTGAAGATGAAGCCTTGAGATCTCCACTGGTGTCCTTTGTTTTCATAGGTTCTTCTAAGAACTTAGCTGAAGCCTTGAGATCTCCACTGGTGTCCTGTGACCCCAAACGTTCTTCTAAGAACTTAACTGAAACCTTGAGATCCCCACTGGTGTCCTTTGTTTTCATAAGTTCTTCCAAGAACTTTTCTGCAGCCTGGAGATCTCCACTGGTGTCCCGTGCCCCCAAACGTTCTTCTGAGAACTTGGTTGAAACCTTGAGACCCCCACTGATGTCCTTTGTTCTAATAAGTTCTTCCAACAACTTGGCTCAAGCTGAAGCCTTGAGACGCCCTCCACTGGCGTCCTGTGACCCCAAACGTTCTTCTGAAAGCTTGGTTGAAACCTTGAGATCCCACCAGTGTCATTTGTTCCCATACAATCTTCCAAGAACTTGGCTGAAGATGAAGCCTTGAGATCTCCACTGGTGTCCTTTGTTTTCATAAGTTCTTCCAAGAACTTAGCTGAAGCCTTGAGATCTCCACTGGTGTCCTGTGACCCCAAACGTTCTTCTAAGAACTTAACTGAAACCTTGAGATCCCCACTGGTGTCCTTTGTTTTCATAAGTTCTTCCAAGAACTTTTCTGCAGCCTGGAGATCTCCACTGGTGTCCCGTGACCCCAAACGTTCTTCTAAGAACTTGGTGAAACCTTGAGAACTCCACCAGTGTTCTTTGTTCCCATACATTCTTCCAAGAACTTGGCTGAAGCTGAAACCTTGAAATCCCTTCCACTGGCATCCTGAGACCCTCCACCGGCGTCCCTTGACCCCCATAAGCTCTTCCAAGAACTCATATCATTGATGTCTTGTGGTTGATGTTCCACCCTCTTTCAGAAGCTCCAGTGCTGAGATCTCCACATCAGAATTCCCAACCGCAATGACCAAATGATGGTGTTACCCTCCCTGGATGGATTCTTCATCCTTAACTGCTGACCACATCTGTGGGAGGGTGACACCTGGCAACTAGTATTTTCCTCATCCTGCCCCCTCTGTAACCCATCTTGGTTTTTTTTTTTTTTTTGTGGAGAAAGATATACCCCCCCAAGTCCACTGGCTGGCTACAGGAGATGCAACAAAGGAGGAGAAACCAAGGATGTTTAAAGGTTCAGTTTAACTTCCTGTTTGGGGTCAGGGGTCACTTTGATCGTTCACGTTGTCACTGCTATTAATGTGTTGATTGTCGCATTCATGTTAATCACCCGGATTGGAGCAGAGCGTCACATTTCCCTCCTGGAGTTTGCTCGCCCCTCCCCCTTCCCACACTTTGACTTCTATAGGATTGCTTGTTATCACAGCAATGGGGCGATGCGCACATCAGCGGGTGACAGACTCTAGAAATATCACCATTGGGGTGGACGGAACCTTTAATTCCAGGGGAAAAAAAATGTTGACATTCGTAATTCGCTTGCCATCCAACATGAGAAATGAAGCCGCTGTATATAATGTATTCTTGTAATTTTGTACATAATCCGAAGCTCAACGACTCGTCTGTTTCCTACCAAATAAATATTTGCCTCTTTTATATGTGTTGTGTTTTTTTTTTCTTTTCTTAAGGGTCCCCATACACATCACATTAAAAAAAAAATCGGAAATGCATTGAAAAACAATTTTTAATCCGTTCTAGAGGTGAGAAAAAAATATTATCTGCTCAAAAGTCTTTATAAAGTGCACTTTTTAAAGGCATAAATACTGTCCAGGGACATGATTAAAAAATTGTTGAATGCATTGAAAACCAATTAATCTGTTCCGGAGGTCAGAAAAAAGTAAACAAAAGTCTTATCTGTTCAAAACTCTATAAAGTGCACTTTAAAGGCATAAATACTATCCAGGGACATGATTAAAAATGAATTCGTAAAATGTATTGAAAACCAATTTTTAATCTGTTCCGGAGGTCAGAAAAAAGTAATAAAAAGTATTTTATCTGTTCAAAACTCTTTATAAAGTGCACTTTAAAGGCATAAATACTGTACAGGGACATGATTAAACAAATTCGTAAATGCATTGAAAACCATTAATCCGTTCTGGAGGTCAAAAAAAAGTATTCTTTTCAAAATTCTTTATAAAGTGCACTTTAAAGGCATAAATACTGTACAGGGACTTGATTTTTAAAAAAAAAAGAAAATCGTAAATGCACTGAAAACCAATTAATCTGTTCCGGAGGTCAGAAAATCAGAAAAGAGTAAAAAAAAGTCCTATCTGTTCAAAACTCTTTATAAAGTGCACTTTAAAGGCATAAAATACTGTCCAGGGACATGATTAAAAATGAATTCGTAAATGTATTGAAAACCAATTTTTAATCCGTTCCGGGGGTCAGAAAAAAGTAATAAAAAGTATTTTATGTGTTCAAAACTCTTTAAAAAAAAATGCACTTTTAAAGGCATAAATACTGTACAGGGACATGATTAACCAAATTCGTAAATGCATTGAAAACCAATTAATCCGTTCTGGAGGTCAAAAAAAAGTATTCTTTTCAAAATTCTTTATAAAGTGCACTTTAAAGGCATAAATACTGTACAGGGACTTGATTTTTAAAAAAAAAAGAAAATCGTAAATGCACTGAAAACCAATTAATCTGTTCCGGAGGTCAGAAAATCAGAAAAGAGTAAAAAAAAAGTCCTATCTGTTCAAAACTCTTTATAAAGTGCACTTTAAAGGCATAAATACTGTCCAGGGACATGATTAAAAATGAATTCGTAAATGTATTGAAAACCAATTTTTAATCCGTTCCGGGGGTCAGAAAAAAGTAATAAAAAGTATTTTATGTGTTCAAAACTCTTTAAAAAAAAATGCACTTTAAAGGCATAAATACTGTACAGGGACATGATTGAAAAAAAAATCGTAAATGCATTAAAAACCAATTAATCCGTTCAGGAGGTCAGAAAAAAGTCTTATCTACTCAAAAGTCTTTATAAAGTACACATTAAAGGCACGGGGCCAGCGCTATAAACGCTTCGTATTGCGAAAAAAATGTGTAAACCGAAACATGGTTTCCCATAGGAATGCATTGAAGACCAATTAATCTGTTCCGGAGGTCAGAAAAAAGTAAAAATACATTATCTGTTCAAAACTCTTTATGAAGTGCACTTTAAAGGCATAAATACTGTACAGGGACATGATTAAAAAAAATCGTAAATGCATTGAAAAACAATCTGTTCGTACTGCGAAAAAAAAATTGTAAACCGAGGCATCATTTTCAATGGATTTTTATTCGTAAACCGAAAATTACGTCAGCCTAGGTGTTCGTAAACCGAGGTACGCCTGTGCTTGCAAATCTGCTCAAAAAAAGCACTCAAAGACGCCTGAATAACACTTAGATTAGTGTGAATGGAGCTTAAAGGGTAAGTTCACCTTTTCATGCGAAAGTGAACTAGCTCAGTCTGTCCTGGCCACCCCTCCAGACCACAGAACGGCCATGATGTCTGGCGCCAGACAGCCCCGGAGGGAGTATTCATCATAACGCCCGCAATTACAAGCAATTACAAGTGCTCATTGGTCAGAGCGGTCACATTCTCCTGGGGCACCTTACCCAAAGAAGAAGCCGCAGGCACTCTCCTCATTGGTCAGAGCGGTCACGTTTTTTCTCCTGGGGCACCTTACCCAAAGAAGAAGCCGCAGGCGCTCTTCTCATTGGTCAGAGCGGTCACGTTTTTTCTCCTGGGGCACCTTACCCAAAGAAGAAGCTGCAGTCACTCTCCTCATTGGTCAGAGCGGTCACGTTTTTTTCTCCTGGGGCACCTTACCCAAAGAAGAAGCCGCAGGCACACTCCTCATTGGTCAGAGCGGTCACATTCTCCTGGGGCACCTTACCCAAAGAAGAAGCCGCAGGCACACTCCTCATTGGTCAGAGCGGTCACATTCTTCTGGGGCACCTTACCCAAAGAAGAAGCCGCAGGCACACTCCTCATTGGTCAGAGCGGTCACATTCTTTCTCCTGCGCCACCTTACCCAAAGAAGAAGCCGCAGGCACACTCCTCATTGGTCGGAGCGGTCACATTCTTTCTCCTGGGGCACCTTACCCAAAGAAGAAGCCGCAGGCACACTCCGCATTGGTCAGAGCGGTCACATTCTTCTGGGGCACCTTACCCAAAGAAGAAGCCGCAGGCACACTCCTCATTGGTCAGAGCGGTCACATTCTTTCTCCTGGGGCACCTTACCCAAAGAAGAAGCCACAGGCACACTCCTCATTGGTCGGAGCGATCACATTCTTTCTCTTGGGGCACCTTACTCAAAGAAGAAGCCTCAGGAACACTCCTCATTGGTCAGAGCGGACACATTCCTTCTCCTGGGGCACCTTACCCAAAGAAGCTGCAGGCACACTCCTCATTGGTCAGAGCGGTCACATTCTTTCTCCTAGGGCACCTTACCCAAAGAAGAAGCCTCAGGAACTCTCCTCATTGGTCATCATGGTCGTGGCTGCTTTAACCAATGAGCTCTTGCCATTTCAAGCATTATGATGGATGCTGGTAGCATGGGCATCAGGACCATGACTTCTCCACGGTTTATCGTTGGCCCGTCCCCAACCAAAAGCTACGGCAATGGGTGAACCGATTTCTCGTCCTGTTCCATGGAAACCTCCACATGGCTGGTGACACCAGGCATTCTCTACTCGGGGACAGTGGGCACTCCGGTAGTAACTATGGTTCATGCATGCTTCCCAATTAGGACCAATTGGTGTTTCTCAATCAATGAATACCAGATGTTCTAGAGGAGGGTGTCAAACTGGCGGCCCTCCAGCTGTTGCCAAACTACAAGTCCCATGAGGCATTGCAAGATTGACAGTTACAAGTATGACTCCCACAGGCAGAGGTATGATGGGACTTGTAGTTTGGCCACAGCTTGGGGGCTGCCAATTTGACACCTGTGTTCTGGAGCAATAGTTGAGACCACAGCTGAGTAAAGTCTTCCAACACCTCCCTTGCCCCCGATAGCAATTAAAAGAAAAAAAAAGAAAAAAGGTCATACCCACACAAAAAATTTATGGGGCTAGAAATTTGTATTGAAATGCTGGATGAGGCTGGGTGTCACTGTGGGAGGACTCTTGATGTAGTTAGAGGATTCTGCAGACTTGGTGGCCCTGCATGAGAGGAGGTCTCTGGAGAGAGCTGGGGGCACCTTGGTAGAGTGTAGGCCCCTGCAGGGGCTGGGTGATGCTTTTGGGTGGGGATCTGAGAGGCTTTGCAGGGTGCTGGATGGCATTGTGGTATGTTTTGAGGGCACTACTATGAGAGCTAGGAGGCACTTTAGGAGGCTAGGTTAGCTTGCTGGAGGCCATGGCCCAGTGGTTAAGAGCCAAAGTCCCAGAGCAGAGGACTCCAGACTTTCTAAACAAAGGGCCAGTTTATTGTCCTTCAAGCTTTAGGGGGACTGCCACTAGTGAGAGTAAGCACTGCCCCATCATTGTTCTCATTGGCAGGTATGGTGCTCCATCGTTGGTGTCATTGGGAGGCATAGTGCCCCATCATTTGTGTCATTGGAACGGTTTCCCATCATTGGTGTCATTTGGAGACACGGTGCTCCATCGTTGGTGTCATCGAGAGGCATAGTGCCCTGTCATTGGGAGGAATGGTTCCCCATCATTGGTGTTATTCGGAGAAAATGGTGCTCCGTCGTTGATGTCATTGAGAGGCATACTGCCCTATCATTGGGAGGAATGGTTCCCCATCATTGGTGTCATTTGGAGAAATGGTGCTCCGTCGTTGATGTCATTGAGAGGCATACTGCCCTATCATTGGGAGGAATGGTTCCCCATCATTGGTGTCATTTGGAGAAATGGTGCTCCATCGTAGGTGTCATTGAGAAGACTAGTGCCCCATCATTGGTGATATTGGGAGGAATGGTTCCCCATCATTGCTGTAATTCGGAGAAATGGTGCTCCATCGTAGGTGCCATTGAGAGGAATAGTGCTCCATTGTTGGTGTCATTGCTAGGCATGGTTCCCCGTCATTGGTGTCATTTCCAGAAATGGTGCTCCATCGTTGGTGTCATTGAGGAATGGTGCCCTATTATTGGTAACAGGGGGACCAGATAAAAGCAACCAAAGGGCTGCATCTGACCCCTGGGCTACAGTGTGGAGACCACTGTCCTAGATGATACTGAAGGTCTTTTGATTCCAGTAGGTGATTTCAAATTCATGTATGATCTCCTCTTAGATCTTTCTAGAGGGTACTCCCCCCTCTCTTACTTCTACCTGAAGAAGCTGAAGCCCAAACTCCACTTAGCTCCATTGGTTGATTCCTAGTGACCCATGCAGCCCAATGCCCAGGACTACTCTCTCTCCTGCATGGTACTTCTTCACATCTGGATTACCGTTTTTGTTCCTCACAAACACCAGTCCTTGATGCTCTCTACATCAAAACGACCTAATTCTCGGCTCGGGTCAGATACATGAAGTCCTGGTTTTATATCGATAGTAACTTACAAAAGTGTCCTCCTGGAGGTTGAGCGAGGTTCTGTAGGACACAATGACTGAAGTCTCCCAGGAGCCTACCTCATTAACTCCTATGGCACCCCAGAGAGAAACCCAACGGGGCATTTTCCTGAAGCATGGGACTAGGTAAAAAAAAAAAAAAAAAAAAAAAAAAAAAAAAAAGGGAAGGGGAACATAAATGTTCTTCAAAACTCTTGGAAAACTTAAAAATCTCACTTAGTAGAGGAACCGAAACTTGGCCATTAAGACAAAATTTCGGTCTTGGTGAAGAAACGATGCTCATGTATGGTTACAATTGAGGAACTATAGATATGCATGAAGAGAAAATTCTTAGTACCGCCCATTTCTACGTACAGAGGGATCATTTCCCGGACTGAACCTTGGGGTAAAGGGACAAGTTCCCAGGTAGCATCACATGCTCACTTTTCCTTGGGAACGCCTCTATTCGGTTGGTGGGAGAAAATACTGTCATTTCGGGTATGGAGGAGCATGGGAAAGCATGAATGGTTGGCAGTTGGCTGAAATGACTTTGTACTTCTGGGTATGGGGGAGCCTGTGGTAAAACGATTGGCAGTTGGCTAAAAATACTTTGAAGTTCCAGGTATGGGGGAGCATGTGACAGTGCCAACGGTTGGCAGTTGGCAAAAAATACTTTGTAGTTCCAGGTATGGGGGAACATGTGACAGCGCCAACGGTTGGCAGTTGGCAAAAAACACTTCGTAGTTCCAGGTATGGAGGAGCATGTGATAGCGCCAACAGTTGGCTAAAAATACTTTGTGCCATTACATACTCCCCATACCCAGAAGTACAAACGATTGGCAGTTAGGCTAAAAATACTTTGTACTTCTGGGTATGGGGGAGACTGTGGTAAAACGATTGGCAGTTAGCTAAAAATACTTTGTACTTCTGGGTATGGGGGAGACTGTGGCGATTGGCAGTTGGCTAAAAATACTTTGTAGTTCCAGGTATGGGGGAGCATACGATAGCGCTAATGGTTGGCAGTTGGCTAAAAAAAAAAAATGCTTTGTACTTCTGGGTATGGAGAAGCATGTGATAGCACTAATAGTTAGAATTTTTTTTTTTTTTTTGCAAAAAAAATTCTAAGTGCCATCACATGCTCCGCCATACCTGGAAGGTCAAAGTATTTTTGTCCAATTGCAAACCATTAGAACGATCACATGATTCCCCATACCTGAAACTACAAAGTATTTTTTGCCAACTGCCAATTGTTTTAGCACAGGCTCCCCCATACCCAGAAGTACAAAGCATTTTTAGCCAACTGCCGTTTGTACTTCTGGGTATGGGGAGTATGTGATGGCACAAAGTATTTTCAGCCAACTGCCAATCGTTGGCGCTATTGCATGCTCCACCACACCTGGAACTACAAAGTATTTTTTGCCAACTGCCAACCGTTTTACCACAGGCTCCCCCATACCCAGAAGTACAAAGTATTTTTTTCCAACTGCCAACCGTTTGTACTTCTGGGTATGGGGACTATGTGATGGCTCGAACAATTGGCAGTTGGCTATACTTTGTAGTTCCAGGTATGGGGGAGCATGTGATAGCGCCAACAGCTGGCTAAAAATATTTTTTGTGCCATCACCTAGTCCCCATACCCAGAAGTACAAACGGTTGGCAATTGGCTAAAAATACTTAGGGAAAAAAAAAAAAAGGGGGGGGGGACACCAGGGACCCCTTTCTTTTTCCTCTACAGGAAAGAAGATGGAAGGCTCCGGGACCACAGCAGCACAGGACCACAAATTTAGGACCTTTAGTGCTCACATTGGTGGCAGCCCCTGCTGTGGATCACTTTTCAAAGGGTAGTTGATAGGCAGCTTGCATGTCTCCTCCCGTTTTAACCCCCAAAAGCCCACACCACTGCGCCAATTACCCCCCCCCGTGCAGCAGCCCATGCCCCCCCCCCCCCCCCCCCCTCCAAGATGAGACAGACCCCAATACAGACTACAAAGACAAGACTCCATGAGTCAATCTGGATTCCAATGAAGTTTTATTAGGAGTAGAAAGTGCCGGAGTATATCAAGCACCCCCCATCTAGTGCCATGCCCCTCCCCCTCCCCACCGAACAGTATCCTTGAACAGTAATAAATACAAAAAGACATCTCCTGCAGGACGAGGGTCTAGAGAACGTGCTGAAATGTCGGACGCCCCGCCCGCGTGGTCTGCTCAAGGGCCGCATCGGCTTCCAAGTGGCTCTGCCGAGTCATGTGACCTGCCGCTCGTTCCGCCCTCATTCCTGGGGATTTGCTGGGCCCGGCGCTGCCTTGCCGTGATCTTCACCCTTCTTCTTGTGGCCGGATACGATGTCGTCGATGCGGAGAAGTAAGATGGCGGTCTGTGCAGGAGGGGGGAGAAAAAAAAAAAAAAGTCACAAAAAAAAAAAAAAAATACAGAAACTGATGGGACTGTGGGGGAGGGGACATTAGAGCGTAAGCTCCTCTGGTACAGAGACTGATGGGACTGTGGGGGAGGGGACATTAGAGTGTAAGCTCCTCTGGTACAGAGACTGATGGGACTGTGGGGGAGGGGACAGAGTGTAAGCTCCTCTGGTACAGAGACTGATGGGACTGTGGGGGAGGGGACATTAGAGCGTAAGCTCCTCTGGTACAGAGACTGATGGGACTGTGGGGGAGGGGACATTAGAGCGTAAGCTCCTCTGGTACAGAGACTGATGTGACTGTGGGGGAGGGGACATTAGAGTGTAAGCTCCTCTGGTACAGAGACTGATGGGACTGTGGGGGAGGGGACATTAGAGCGTAAGCTCCTCTGGTACAGAGACTGATGGGACTGTGGGGGAGGGGACATTAGAGCGTAAGCTCCTCTGGTACAGAGACTGATGTGACTGTGGGGGAGGGGACATTAGAGTGTAAGCTCCTCTGGTACAGAGACTGATGGGACTGTGGGGGAGGGGACATTAGAGCGTAAGCTCCTCTGGTACAGAGACTGATGTGACTGTGGGGGAGGGGACATTAGAGTGTAAGCTCCTCTGGTACAGAGACTGATGTGACTGTGGGGGGGAGGGGACATTGGAGTGTAAGCTCCTCTGGCACAGAGACTGATGGGACTGTGGGGGAGGGGGACAGAGTGTAAGCTCCTCTGGTACAGAGACTGATGGGACTGTGGGGGAGGGGACATTAGAGCGTAAGCTCCTCTGGTACAGAGACTGATGGGACTGTGGGGGAGGGGACATTAGAGCGTAAGCTCCTCTGGTAGAGAGACGGATGTGACTGTGGGGGAGGGGACATTGGAGTGTAAGCTCCTCTGGTACAGAGACTGATGGGACTGTGGGGGAGGGGACATTGGAGTGTAAGCTCCTCTGGTGCAGAGACTGATGGGACTGTGGGGAGGGGACATTGGAGTGTAAGCTCCTCTGGTGCAGAGACTAATGGGACTGGCTCAGTGTTCTCCGTACAGCGCTGCAGTAGATGTCAAAGCTAAATAAAAGTATAATAGTGTGCGACTGTGGGGGGGGGGGCATTAGAGTGTCAGCTCCTTTGGTGCACATGTGGACATAAATGGTTCAATATTCAGTAGGTAAGTGTCCTGCATGGAACAAGATGTCTTCTCCACTCACCTCTACTGCCGTTTTGTAAGTCTGCAGTTTCACCGCCAGCGGCTCCCAGATTCCCAGATCCTTCATGTCGGCGAGGACGCCGTTCTCCCCATCCACACCCCACGTCTGAGCAGCCCTCCTGGGTGTGCTTCGCCTTTAATAAACATAACATTTACCTTTTTTAGAGACATTCTGTTTAAAGTCACAAAACACAACAAACGTTTCCTGTGACCACTTCTCCTTCCAATAAAAGATCGGGTAACATGCAAATTTATGCAAATTCCACGCACGCCGAACAGGAATTTTTAAGCAGCTTTTTCATGGCATCACTCACCTCTGATAAATATCGCGCTTTGTAGAGATCTGATGGAGCCATTGAAAGATACAAATTCTGCATATAACAGGGCAGCTAGAATAGACTGACCCCCCCGGGACTGCCAGCGTTGCATGCTGGGATATCCGCACCAATAGTGGGGTTCTGAGTTGTGGGATTAGATGGTCCGGCCATTTTGCACACAGGTCTATGTTGTGACGCTGTGCTCATGGGGGCACCCCCACCTTTACTAGGGGGAGAGGAGGGAACACCGGCGGCCGCAAGGGAGGGAGGAGGGAACACCGGCGGCCGCAAGGGAGGGAGGGGAAACAGGAGGGAACACCGGGAGCGGGGAACACCGCAAGGGAGGGAGGAGGGAACACCGGCGGCCGCAAGGGAGGAGAGAGGGAACACCGGCGGCCGCAAGGGGAGGGAGGAGGGAACACCGGCGGCCGCAAGGGGAGGGAGGAGGGAACACCGGCGGCCGCAAGGGGAGAGAGGAGGGAACACCGGCGGCCGCAAGGGGAGGAGGAGGGAACACCGGCGGCCGCAAGGGGAAGAGGAGGGAACACCGGCGGCCGCAAGGGGAGAGAGGAGGGAACACCGGCGGCCGCAAGGGGAGAGGAGGGAACACCGGCGGCCGCAAGGGGAGAGAGGAGGGAACACCGGCGGCCGCAAGGGAGAGAGGAGGGAACACCGGCGGCCGCAAGGGGAGAGAGGAGGGGGAACACCGGCGGCCGCAAGGGGAGAGAGGAGGGAACACCGGCGGCCGCAAGGGGAGAGAGGAGGGAACACCGGCGGCCGCAAGGGGAGAGAGGAGGGAACACCGGCGGCCGCAAGGGAGAGAGGGGAACACCGGCGGCCGCAAGGGGGAGAGGAGGGAACACCGGCGGCCGCAAGGGGAGAGAGGAGGGAACACCGGCGGCCGCAAGGGGAGAGAGGAGGGAACACCGGCGGCCGCAAGGGAGAGAGAGGAGGGAACACCGGCGGCCGCAAGGGGAGAGAGGAGGGAACACCGGCGGCCGCAAGGGAGAGAGAGGAGGGAACACCGGCGGCCGCAAGGGAGAGAGAGGAGGGAACACCGGCGGCCGCAAGGGAGAGAGAGAGGGAACACCGGCGGCCGCAAGGGGGAGAGGAGGGAACACCGGCGGCCGCAAGGGGGAGAGGAGGGAACACCGGCGGCCGCAAGGGGGAGAGGAGGGAACACCGGGCGGCCGCAAGGGGGAGAGGAGGGAACACCGGCGGCCGCAAGGGGGAGAGGAGGGAACACCGGCGGCCGCAAGGGAGAGAGGAGGGACACTGGCAGCTGCAAGGGACAGGAGGGAGCACCAACAATGAATGGGAACCGATGGGTGAGGTCACTATTCCCAGCCATTGCCGAGCATTCTCTCCTCTCTTCTCCTCTGGCTGGCACAGAAGATCATGTGACCAGACTGAAGTGGCCTGAAATATTAGTATATACCTCTTTCTTACCCAGGTTAGTCAGCATAGGTGGGGGGGGGGGGGGGGGGGGGGGGGGGGGGGACCAGTTAGTTAGGTTGAGGCTGGAATTCTACTTTAAGCAACACATGTCCATAGGGGGAATTACGTCTGACAGAGAGAATGTCTGTCTGACCTAATCAGGCATCAATAAAGCTTGTTGCAGTATGGGGGGGGGGGGGGGAAGAAAACGAAGTGGCACGTGGCCTATGCATTTGTGTGCTTGTGGTGTAGTCAAAGCCGGTGTGTCAGGATCCTCACCCTCAGAGAGGTCAGCACCCGGATGGTGCTGGCTCCGCAGTTCTGGATCAGCGTCCTTGGAATGACCTCGAGGGCCTGGGCCACGGCGCGGTACGGCCACTGCTCCACCCCAGTCATGGCCTTGGACTTCTCGGTGAGGACGTGTGCCACAGCCATCTCCGCCGCTCCTCCTCCCGGGACCAGGTACGGGTCGATCATTACGTTACGGCAGACCTGCATGGCGTCCTGGAGGTTCCGCTCCACCTCCTGCAAAAAGCACAAAAACACATTTTAATCGACATTTCCCTGCAGCTGATCTTTTGGGGGCCATGACTGGCAGCCATATTGGTAGAGGCAGGACCTTGCTTCCTCATTTCATAGCTGCCCCTCCCGATCACTAGTGATCTGATGACAGAGGTGGAGGAAGCACAGATCCACTGATTGGCAGAAGCAGGGAGATCCTTGCTCTGCGGGGTACCATGACTTGTTCTACAAGGTATCAGCAGCCATATTGGTAGAGGCAAGACCTTGCTTCCTCATTTCATAGCTGCCCCTCCCCCCCGATCACTAGTGATCTGATGACAGAGGTGGAGGAAGCACAGATCCGATGGATGAAGCAGAAGCAAGGAGATCCTTGCACTGCAGGTTCTCAGGTACAGCTTTATCTTTTGGGGGCCATGACTTGTTCTGCAAGGTATTGGGAAGCCATATTGTTAGAGGCAAGACCTTGCTTCCTCATTTCACAGCTGCCCCTTCTGATCACTAGCGATCTGATGACAGAGGTGGAGGAAGCACAGATCCATTGAATGGATGAAGCAGAAGCAGGGAGATCCTTGCACTGCAGGTTCTCAGGTACAGCTTCATCTTTTGGGGGCCTTGACTTGTTCTGCAAGGTATCAGGCAGCCATATTGGTAGAGGCAAGACCTTGCTTCCTCATTTCACAGCTGCCCCTTCTGATCACTAGCGATCTGATGACAGAGGTGGAGGAAGCACAGATCCATTGAATGGATGAAGCAGAAGCAGGGAGATCCTTGCACTGCAGGTTCTCAGGTACAGCTTCATCTTTTGGGGGCCTTGACTTGTTCTGCAAGGTATCAGGCAGCCATATTGGTAGAGGCAAGACCTTGCTTCCTCATTTCACAGCTGCCCCTTCTGATCACTAGCGATCTGATGACAGAGGTGGAGGAAGCACAGATCCATTGAATGGATGAAGCAGAAGCAGGGAGATCCTTGCACTGCAGGTTCTCAGGTACAGCTTCCTCTCCAGCAAGGAGGACAGTGAGCAGCACAGTAGTGACATCACCAAATCTGGTGAGACAAATCGAGGCAGCAGTGCCTTAGATCTCCCACTGCAGATATACAGTGGCCCTAGGGCCGTAGGCTGGGCTCTAGGGTTTTAAGCTGTTGAAAACCAAAGTAAAACCCAAATCTACAGTCTTCGTTCTGATCTTTAAAAGGTTACGTTCATCTATGGAAGCATGTTACACCCACACTGAGGGGGTAACGCGTGTCAAAAGACCGGAAGCCGGTGGAATTGGCCTCCGATCACGTGACTACAGTGACAGTGGTCACATGATCGCCGATCCTTCAAGCCTTTCCAATTTACGAACAGAACTGCAGAAGTCACTTACAGCCAGGATCTCCTTGCTGGCCCCGCGCAGGACGATGGTGCAGGCCTTGGGGTCTTTGCATTCTGTGATGAAGGTGAAGTACTCGTCGCCGATCTTTTTGATCTCGAAAAGTCCGGCGCCCGTCCCCACGTCCTCTTCCCGCAGCTCGTCTGTGCGGCTGGCGATGCGAGCTCCGCAGGCTCTGCGCGCAGAATACAATGCCGTCATTGACCTGTATGGAACCATTACCTGAGCGGCAGCTTCCGCATCCCTTTCCCCGGGAGGTACCTGGCTATCCTGTTGTTGTCCGTCTTGCGGACTCTGCGGATGGCGGTGACGTTTGCTTTGACCAGATAATGCTGAGCGAGATCTGAAGGAAAGCAGATAAGAATGATATAGAAAAAAGAATCCGAAATACAAAAATGTAGTCAACTTAAAGAAAAGTTCCACCCAAACGTGTAAGCTCCTCCCACATTTGGTCCCCTACTTCCCCCCCCTGGAGCCCTCTCGGACACATCGCAGGTCATAAAAGACTGCAGTCCATTCACAAAGAGCATCACGCTTCGCACATGCTCAGTAGGAAACGGCTGTGAAGTCGCTACTGGTTCCCCGTAGACTAGATGGCTGTGGCAGCACCCGATCGCGGATTGAAGACGAGGAAACCGCCAGATCCATGAACAGGTAGAGCGCCCTAATAATAAAAGTCATCAGGCCACAGTATTTGGGGGGATGGGGGTGGAGCTAAACTTAAAGTCACTGGTCACAGAGTTGGGGGGACATGCCCGTGCAAGTGCGAAGGGGAGGAGCCGGGGCACGCCCCTGCCAGAACGAACGGGAGGGGCGGGGCAAGACCGAACGGGAGGGGCCGGGGCAAGACCGAACGGGAGGGGCCGGGGCAAGACCGAACGGGAGGGGCCGGGGCAAGACCGAACGGGAGGGGGGCCGGGCACGCCCGAACGGGAGGGGCCGGGGCACGCCCGCCCGAACCGGACGGGGGCCGGGGCACGCCCCTGCAAGACCGAACGGGGAAGGCCGGGGCAGGAGCCGGGGCACGCCCCTGCAAGACCGAACGGGAGGAGCCGGGGCACGCCCCTGCAAGACCGAACGGGAGGAGCCGGGGCACGGCAGGAGCCGCCCCCCTGCAAGACCGAACGGGAGGAGCCGGGGCACGCCCCTGCAAGACCGAACGGGAGGAGCCGGGGCACGCCCCTGCAAGACCGAACGGGAGGAGCCGGGGCAACGCCCCTGCAAGACCGAACGGGAGGAGCCGGGGCACGCCCCTGCAAGACCGAACGGGAGGAGCCGGGGCACGCCCCTGCAAGACCCGAACGGGGAGGAGCCGGGGCACGCCCCTGCAAGACCGAACGGGAGGAGCCGGGGCACGCCCCTGCAAGACCGAACGGGAGGAGCCGGGGCACGCCCCTGCAAGACCGAACGGGAGGAGCCGGGGCACGCCCCTGCAAGACCGAACGGGAGGAGCCGGGGCACGCCCCTGCAAGACCGAACGGGAGGAGCCGGGGCACGCCCCTGCAAGACCGAACGGGAGGAGCCGGGGCACGCCCCTGCAAGACCGAACGGGAGGAGCCGGGGCACGCCCCTGCAAGACCGAACGGGAGGAGCCGGGGCACGCCCCTGCAAGACCGAACGGGAGGAGCCGGGGCACGCCCCTGCAAGACCGAACGGGAGGAGCCGGGGCACGCCCCTGCAAGACCGAACGGGAGGAGCCGGGGCACGCCCCTGCAAGACCGAACGGGAGGAGCCGGGGCACGCCCCTGCAAGACTGAAGTCAAGCTTTACAACAACTGCCCCGTTCAGCCCAGTGTAGACGCCTCTCCGCTGCTCCGCCATTAATAGGAGGGGCACCCGGTCGGTCATTATAAAAAAGTGTAGCCCCTCCCCCCTCCTCACCAGAGATCCCCTTCTCTGTGATGACCACATCCGGCTTCAGTCTGATGATATCTTCGCAGATCTGCTGGATGTACTCCTCCTCCAGCTGCAGGATTCGGGCGAAGTCCTCCTCCCCGGGTGATCTCGATCTCCGTCTGCCGGAAAAGGACAACAAAAGCCGATGTTAATAAACGATCGTCCTCGCCGGCACACTACCAGCGGCCATTGGGGGCGCCCTCACCTGGCTCTCTCCCTTCTTATACTCCAGGGAACAGTCCAGGAGGACGATCCGCGGGTTCTTGATCAGCCGCTTCATCTTGGGGTGTGTGTGACGTCTTTGTTCACCATGACACCGCGCAGAACCTGGGACTCTTCGATGATGCCGCCGGGGAATCTACAGAAACGAGAGCGAAGGAAATGTTGGCGCGGAATCCTAAAATCAGAAGAGCCGGCTTAAAGGGATAGTTCACCTTTACCAAAAAAAACTGCCCCTGCAGGTAGAGGGAAACCTGTAGGTGAAAAGACTCCTTCCCGCCACCGCCCCTTTAAGAGGTTCTAAATGCCGGGAGGTGGAGGCAGGCGTTCCAGTCATGTGACCGCTGTGATTGGCAGTCACAGCGGTCACATGATCAGAAAGCTGCCGGTTACTGTGTTGGGAGTGCGCACTCAGCACAGCAAACGTTACATAAATGTCCTAGGCCAGGGGTGGGCAACCTGTGGCTCTCTAGCCGTTGTGGAACATTTCCCATGAGGCATTGCAACATTACAAAACTGACAGTTACAGCTATGACTTGCAGAGGCATGATGGAACTTGTAGTCCTGCAACAGCTGGAGAGCCGCAGGTTGCCTACCCCTGTCCTAGGTAAAGGTGTAGGCCACCTACATACCTCCTGCAGCCTGGCGGAAAAAACTCAAGAGCTGGCATCATCCTGTCCTGACTGGTTGCTAGGACACTCCCTTCTGATTCAACCCGCCCTAGCATGTGTGGTCTTCCCTGTTCTGAGCTTAGCAATGCTGTAAAAGGAGGAGATGGTGGACCACACATGCGCGGCGGGGTTTAGGAGCTCGTTCCTGTGATGGTGTGAGTGAGCAGTAGCAGCTGGGAGTCTCTTAGCAACAGCCTAGCAACAAGGCAGGACGAAGCCATCTCTGGGTGTTTTTCGGCCAGGCACCAGGAGGTAGATAAAATGGCCTATGCCAGGGGTGGGCAACTGTGGCCCTTCAGCTGTTGGTGAACTACAAGTCCCATCATTCCTCTGCCTTTGAGAGTCATGCTTGTAACTGTCAGTTTTGCAATTCCTCGTGGGACTTGTAGTTCAACAGCTGGAGGGCCACAGTTGCCCACCCCCCTGGCCTATGCCTACAGCAAGGGCATCTTCCAACTTCATTTACAGCTGCACAGCTTTTTATCTAGACTCCTCCCCAGGGGCGTCCCTAGGGTTGGTGTCACCCAGTGCGGTGACACCAACAGTCCGATGACACCGATAGTCCGATCCAATATGCTCCCCAATCCGCAGATCCGATCCCTCGGCTTGCAACCTATACGGGTTAACTGATCTGGCAACACCGGCCCGGGGGGGGGGGATGGGGTGCGACGGGGACACAGGGAGGGGAAGAGCCAGGGCTGTGTGTGCACGACAGGGACCGCCCACCTCTGAAGGGGTGACACCATGTGTTACTGCAGATCCGATCCATCTTGCGGGAATCGTTGGCTTGCAACCTATACGGGGTTAACTGACACCAGTCCGGGGGGGGGGGGGGGGGGGGGGGGGGGGGGGGGGGGGGGGGTGGTGAGCGACGGGGACACAGCGAGGGGAAGAGCCAAGGCTGTGTGTATGTGCACGACAGGGGACCCCCGCCCACCTCTGGACGGTGACACCACGTGATACCGCAGATCCGATCCATCTTTCCGAGGATTGTCGGCTTGCTTTAAAAACTTTTTGGTGTCACCCCCATGCGATAGGTGTCACCTGGTGCAGCGCACCCCCCCGCACCCACCCACCTAGGGGCGCCACTGCTCCTCCCTGCACAGGCAGTTTTTTTGGTAAAGGTGAACTAACCCTTTAATTATCGCCAAATATCAACTAGACCAATATAAAAGCACAGATATGGGTGTCACTCGTGAGGTTTTTATTTTTTTTTTCACCCCCTATATACAGATCTTCACATCCTTCCAGCACTGGGATCACATCCCCCGAGCCTTTCCAAGGCTGGAGGGACGGAGTAAGGCAGGGGGGTCAAACTGGCGGCCCTCCGGGTGTGGCGAAACTACAAGTCCCATCATGCCTCTGCCTTTGGGAAGTCATGCTTGTAACAGTCAATCCTGCAATGCCTCATGGGACTTGTAGTTTAGCAACGGCTGGAGGGCCGCCAGTTTGACACCCGTGCTGTAAGGAACACCATGTGGTCACAGAGCTGGGATGACATGCAGCCTGTTTCGTTCTAACCGAGCCTCTCCTCCCGTGCTCCGTAGCGAATGGCAGTTCGCCGCGGAAAAAAAAGCCATGAAGAATCAACCAATGATTATCCACCGTTAAGCGGCACAACCAATCACAGCCTTCTCTAGTACCGCCAGGTTCTGTCAATCAATCTCCCCGCTCGGCACTGACCTTCTCCACCTTGGCGTACTTCTTGATGTCGATCTCCTTGCGCCCGTTCTCCTCCAGCTCTACGGTCTTGACGGCATCCAGAGCGATGTTGCAGGCCATGTCCGCCCAGCGTTTGATGGCCTTGGTGTTTATGGCGCTGTTGATGATCTTCAGCATCAGCTCTCGGTCGCTCGTGTCCACAGGGGTGCTGAGGGGGGGCGGGGACAAAGCATGAGCAAGGCATGGAGGGAACATTTTTTTTTTTGATTTACATATAATGGGGAAAGGTAACCGGTCTCTGTGAAAAGTATTCCGATAGGTTCATACATCTGGGATAAACATATATACAAGCCCATTGGGCGATGCATTGTCCCCTCCCCCACCTGCTCCTCCCTGCCTTGCCAGGTTTGTTTTATTGGTCCCTTCCTAGTGACAGAGCTTTTTATTACCACCGATCACTGTAGTGGTGTCACTGGGGATGTCAGTGACACTAAATCAGTCCCCCCCCCCAGTGTCAGAATGCTCGCCGCAGTCCCACTACAAGTCGCTGATCGCCGCCATTACTAGTATAGAAAGAAAAAAAAAAAAAATAAAAACAATCCCAGTCTCTATACCGCCGTTTATAAACGCTATAGGAGGAGCCACAAGCAGGAGGAGCCCCTCATATCAATGTGTTCCATCGGGGCACCTGAACTCCTTCAGAGTGCTGATCATGTCATCCAGGGCCTTGCGGTAGGCGCTGATCACCACAGTCGGGTGCATCTGCTGCTCCAGGAACTGCTCAGCGACGGCCAACATCTCTCCAGCTGTAAAGACAGAGAAAGAGGACTCAGATCTCACCCCTCCCCCAGCATCTCACCCCCTCATCCCTCCCCCCGCATCTCACCCCCCTCATCCCTCCCCACACATCTCATCCCTCCCCCCCAGCATCTCACACCCCTCCCCCCAGCATCTCACACCCCTAGTCTCTCCCCCCCAGCATCTCACACCCCTCCCCCCAGCATCTCACCCCCCCTCGTCCCCTTCCCCCCACATCTCACCCCCTCATCCCTCCCCCCCGCATCTCACCCCCTCCCCCCAGCATCTCACACCCCTTGTCCCTCCCCCCCACATCTCACCCCCTCGTCCCTCCCCCCGCATCTCACCCCCCCCCCCCCCCCCGCATCTCACCCCCTTGTCCCTCCCCCCCGCATCTCACCCCACCTCGTCCCTCCCCCCCGCATCTCACCCCCTCGTCCCTCCCCCCCGCATCTCACCCCCTCGTCCCTCCCCCCCGCATCTCACCCCTCCCTCCCTCCCTCCCCCCCGCCATCTCACCCCCTCGTCCCCTCCCCCCCATCTCACCCCCTCGTCCCTCCCCCCGCACCTCACCCCTTCCCCCCCCACCCCTCACCCCTCATCCCTCCCCCCACATCTCACCCCCCTCCCCCCAGCATCTCACACTCCTCGTCCCTCCCCCAAGCATCTCATCCCCCACTCCCCCCAGCACGTCTCACCCCCCCCACCAAATCTCACCCCCCCCCCACCAAATCTCACCCCCCCCCACCAAATCTCACCCCCCCCCCCCTAAATCTCACCCCCCCCTAATTCCCCTCCCCCCCCCCCTAATCTCACCCCCCCTAATCCCCCCCCCCCCCATCTCACACACCACCACCTCCTCCCCCCCCCCCCCAATCTCACCCACCTCCTCAATCTCCCCCCCCCCCCCAATCACACAACCCTCCCCCCCTCCCCCCCAATCAACACACCCTCCCCCCCCCCAATCTAACACACCCTCTTAATCTCACCCCCCCAATCACACACCCTCTTAATCTCACAACTCCCCCCCTCCAATCTCCCCCTCCCCCTTAATCTTCCCTCCAATTTTACACACACCTCTCTCAATCTCATCCCCCAGTCACACACCCTCTTAATCTCAAACCCCTCCCCCAAATCTCACACACCCTCTTAATCTCACCCCCGCCCCAATCTCACACCCACCCACCCCCCCAATTTCACACACCCTCTTAATCTCACCCCCCCCCCCCCCCCCCCATCTCCCCCTCAATCTCCCCCCCTCCCAATCTCACACACCCCCCGCTCCAATCTCACCACCCCAATCACATCTCCCCCCCAAATCTCACACACCTTCTTAATCTCCACTCCCCACAATCTCACAACCCCTCATATGCCGTCCCAAATACGCCCGGATTGTGTGTGTCCCTGTTCCCCTCACCCAGAATGATGACAGATGTGGTGCCGTCTCCCACCTCCTCGTCATCCTGGGTGCGGCTGATCTCGATCATGGATTTGGCGGCGGGGTGCTGCACCTGGATCTACAATGGAGAGAGAAGCAGGATCCACTTACAATGGGGACGGGGGGGGGGGGGGGGGTACATACATCCGGCCTCTGCAGGTCTGATCTGAGCCCCCCCTGCAGCACTAGGGCAACACTGGGCCATGTTAAAGAGAACCTGTCACCCTGACCATCCATGGTCTTAAAAAATGTCCCCTCCCCCAACTAACACCTATATCGGCTTACCCCCCCCCCCCCCCCCCTCAGTCGCATGATTTCACAGTCGGACGACACGCCGATTTCAGGGGCGACTCGCAAGACATCCGACCCAGAGGACTACGCAAATCACAGCAAAAGCAGCGCATGGACGGCCTTAGAAATCTGTGCGGCTCCAACCAGGTCAGAACCGCACCGATAGGACGGCTGTCACTGCGGACAATGGGCTGCGATTCGGAAGTCGCATCCGGTGTGACGGGGTCCAAGGCTCCATCCACACTCGTCATGTGACTCTGGACACGGCAAGTCGTACCCCACCGACAACCGATCGAATATGTACGACTCCACATTCAAGTTGCAGCGACTTCAAACTACTTCCTGCACTACTAATGCAACGTGAGTGCCATACACTGCAATGTGAACCCTCGCGCCCCGTGTGCGCCCCCCCATTCGCAGCTGTCAATCACCGGGTCCTGGCCGGTGACTACTCACCCGGTGATTTCCGACAGGGAGGATTGTTTTGTTTGCCGACGGTTCTCCTCCCTGTCTGCTCCGGCACACTGCACAGCACAGCCATCCAGATCAGTGCGATTACAGTGAAGCACGCAGACCCCCGAGTAAAAAACACTCCCAGCACACAGTTAACCCTTTGATCTCCCCACATATTAACCCCTTCCTGCCCCGTGCCATTAGTACAGTGAAGCACACAGACCCCGCCCCCTAGGTGAAAAAGAAAAAACAAAAACTACACCCAGCACACAGTTAACCCTTTGATCTCCCCGCATATTAACCCCTTCCTGCCCAGTGCCATTAGTACAGTGAAGCACACAGACCCCGCCCCCTAGGTGAAACAAAAAAAAAAAAAAAAAAAAAAAAAACTACACCCAGCACACACAGTTAACCCTTTGATCGCCCCTCGTGTTAACCCCTTCCTGCCCAGTGCCATTAGTACAGTGTCAGGGCTTTTTATTAGCACTGATCTCTGTATTGGTGTCACTGGGGATGACAGTGACACCAAGTCAGTCCCCCCCCAGTGTCAGAATGCCCGCCGCAGTCCCGCTGTAAGTCACTGATCGCCGCCATTACTAGTAAAAAAAAAAATAAAAAAAAATCCCCGTATCTAGACCGCCATTTGTAGACGCTATAACTTTTACGTAAACCAATTAATTTACACGTATCGGGGGTTTTTTTTTTTTTTTTGTAGCAGAATACATTTTGGCCGGAATTTATATGATGAAATTTGATTTTTTTCATTTTTTTTTACTGGACATGTTTAATAGCAAAAAGTCCAAAATATTGCTTTTTTTTTTTCAAAATTGTTGGGCTTTTCTTTTTTTTTTTGTTATAACGCAAAAAATGTAAAAAAAAAAAAACAAAAAAACAAAAAAAAAAAAAAACGCAGAGGCGATCAAATACCACCAAAAGAAAGCTCAATTCGTGGGAAAAAAAGGACCGTAAATTTCATTTGGGTGCAGCGTTGCATGACCGCGCAATTGTCAGTTAAAGTAATGCAGCGCCGTATCGCAAAAAAAAAATAATAAAAAAAAAAAAAAAAATGGCTTGGTCAGGAAGGGGGGATCCTCTTGAGGGGGAGGGGATAATGATCACATCCTGGCTTTATTAATGGGTGTGATGTGTCTGTGCCCACGCCCAGGGGGAGTGGCCAAAAAAGGAAGGCGGGGGGAATCCTCTGGAGGGGGGATAATGATCACAAAGTGGCCTGATCACATCCCGGCTTTATTAATGGGTGTGATGTCTGTGCCCACCCCCAGGGGGAGTGGCCAAAAAAGGGAGGAGAAATCCTCTTGAGGGGGAGGGGTAATGATCACATCCTGGCTTTATTAATGGGTCTGATGTCTGTGCCCACGCCCAGGGGGAGTGGCCAAAAAAGGAAGGCGCGGGATCCTCTGGAGGGGAGGTTAATGATCACATCCTGGCTTTATTAATGGGTGTGATGTCTGTGCCCACGCCCAGGGGGAGTGGCCAAAAAAAGGCGGGGGGAAGGAGGGGGGGATAATGATCACATCCCGGCTTTATTAATGGGTGTGATGTGTCTGTGCCTACGCCCAGGGGGAGTGGCCAAAAAAAGGGAGGAGAAATCCTCTTGAGGGGGAGGGGGGGATAATGATCACATCCCGGCTTTATTAATGGGTGTGATGTCTGTGCCCACGCCCAGGGGGAGTGGCCAAAAAAGGGAGGAGAAATCCTCTTGAGGGGGGGGGTAATGATCACATTCTGTCTTTATTAATGGAAGTGATGTGTCTGTGCCCACCCCCAGGGGGAGTGGCCAAAAAAGAAAGGGGGGATCCTCTGGAGGGCAAGAGGTTAATGATCACATCCTGGCTTTATTAATGGGTGTGATGTGTGTGCCCACCCCCAGGGGAGTGGTCAAAAAAAAAGTAGGGGGAAATCCTCTGGGGGGGTTAATGATCACATCCTGGCTTTATTAACCACTTATACCCCCCTTATACCCCCCTACCGGGCACTTATACCCCCTTCCTTACCAGGCCAATTTTCAGCTTTCAGCGCTGCCGCACTTTGATTGACAATTGCGCGGTCATGCAACATTGTACCCATATGAAATTTTGATCATTTTTTTCTCACAAATAGAGCTTTCTTTTGGTGGTATTTAATCCCCGCTGGGCGCTTTACTTTTTGCGCTATAAATAAAAAAAGTGCAAAAAATTTGAAAAAAAAAAAAAGTTTATTTGTTTATTTTATAAAATTTTTCAAACAGGTATTTTTTCTCCTTCACTGATGTGCATTGATGAGGCAGCACTGACTGATAGGGCACTGATGGGCATAGGCGGCACTGATAGGGCGGCACTAATATGCAGCACTGATAGGCGGCACTGATGATGGGTACTGATAGACGGCACTGACTAGTGGCACTGACTGGCAGCACTGCTGGGCTGGGGGGCGGCACTGGTGGGCACAGGTAGGTGGCACTGCAGAGTGGCACAGGTGGGGGCACTGCTGGGCACAGGTGGGCGGAGCTAGTGGGCGCACTACTGGGCGGAACTTGCGGGTGTCACTGCTGGGCACCGATCATCAGTGCCCTGATGATCGGTGCCGATCCCCGCTGTGACAACTGCCGGTTCTCGGCAGTACTTTCCTCACGATCTGACAGCGTGAGGAAAGTGCAGCCGAGAACCGGCACTTGCATTTTCCTCTGATCAGCGTGTCATTGGACACCGCTGATCACGTGGTAAAAGGCCGCTGTGATTGGCCTTTTACCACATCACGTGATCAGCTGTGTCCGTAGGACACAGCGATCACGGAGATCGCCGGTGCGCGCCCCCCTGGGGCGCGCAGGAGAGCGCGTTCTGGGAGGACGTCATATGACGTCCACCCAGAACTGGCCGGCCGCGGTGAAGCCGTCATTCGGCTATGCGCGGTCGGCAAGAGGTTAATAGTTGCGATGTCTGTGCCCACCCCCAGGGGGAGTGGCCATAAAAGGAAGATGGGGGAAATCCTCTGGAGGGGGAGGGGTTAAGGAGGCAGCACGACTACTCCTGGATGCAGCTTTAAAACAGTTAGGCCACGCCTTCTGGATGCACCACCAGGACTCACAGTTAGATCTCAGTAGAGCACATTTTCGTAGACGGCACACGGGCGCCATGTGATGCGTTTACAGACGCCGTGCGGACAGAACACTCACCTCTCGGAGGATGGCGTTCCCGTCGTTGGTCATCACAATCCCGCCCATCGGGTCCAGCAACATCTGGAAGGAAAGCAAAACAAAAAAAAAAAAACGTTATTAACCTGTTGCACCCCGCCGCGTATATATGCGTCACTGGGCGGGGTTGATGTTCCTGTGCTGACAGCACGCTGCGCCATGAATTCCCAGCACAGAGACCGAGCTGTCAGTGACAGCTCTCTGTCCAGGTTAACCACTGGTAGCCGGCAGGACCAGCTCCTGATCATGTGACCACAGTGACACCCCGGTGGGGGATTTCGCTGCAGAAGGAAGGGCATTGTCACTTCGTTACAGGAAGTGGAAACAGAACGGGTCTGCTGGCGGGATCAACAGCTAATAAGGGTGACAACAATTTCAATGCAGGAGAAAGCATTGTCACCCTGTTACAGGAAGTGGAAACAGAACGGGTCTGCTGGCGGGATCAACAGCTAATAAAATGTTACAGAATGGGGAAGCGGTACTCTACCGGAGCGCCTCATCCATGACCACGCCCACCTACTAACACGGTGACCTCTCATGAAGCCAGCCCATCCGTACAGTGGCCCTCAGGGGCCCCACGTTAATGAGTCCACCTTCTCCACTGCTATAGAGTGGCCCCAGATTTTTTTTTAACCACCCCTGCCTTCCCGAGGCCCTCTTGATTATAATGCCACCTACCTGCTTTGCAGTCAGGACTTCAGGGGGGCGCCACAATAAAGGTTCTACCATTTCCTTGCATAGTGACCCCCCTCCCCTAAATTTACACCACCCTGCCTTTCCTTTGGCCCTTAGGGGCCAATTCATCTAGAATTCCACCTATCTGCTTTGTAAACATCCCCTGTCCGCAGGGTGACAACACTGCTGTGTAATTTCAATGCAGGAGAAAGGGTTGTCACCCTGTTACAGGAAGTGGAAAAATAACGGGTCTACTGGCGGGATCAACAGGGGATACAATGGTGTCACAGGTAGGATGAAGGGGGCGGGGCGTCAGCGATGGTGAGCCTGGCCCAAGCAGAGGCTTCTCCGCAGAGATCTCTTTCCCCTCCAGACACGTGGCCCTTACCTTCATCATGGCTCGGGGCCCCAGGCAGGTGCGGATGATGTCGGCGATGGTCTGTGGAGGACACACACAATCAGGATATGTACGGTGAGCCGTGATTGGACGGCAGCCGTAGAGAGGGGCTTACCTTGGCCGCGTTGATGTTCCCGGCTTGGACCTTCCTGCCCGACTCCCTCTTCATATTCTGACCTGAAATACGAGACTATCAGTGAGACGCTGCAGAATGTACACCGGCATCCACCTCCGGGGGGCGCCCTAAGGGAACCCCCACAGTGAGCTGGGGCAGACCCTGAACTGCCCCTCCCCCAATGTCAACTAAACCTGAGGGGCCCCGACACCACAGAGCAGACTGACAGATCCATACACCCCCCCGGGGCCCTTAATATGGCTCTCGGGGGCCCCTCACATGGGACACTGCCAACCAGACTGTGGCCCCTCATTGGAGCCCCTCCTTTAGATTACCAATCCCGTTTTGTGCCCCCCCCCCCATTCATAATACCAACTGTTGACATACAGAACACACATCCGTGATGTCACCCACATGTCCTGTACAGGGGCCCTCGGGGGCCACTCATATCAGATTGCCCCCCTCACACAACTAATAGCTTTAGGAACCCCTCCTGTCCTGTGACCTCAAGGGGCCCCCCTCATATACCCATAGAGGACCCCACATCTCACCTTCCCATGGAGTGGCCCTCAGGGGCCCTCACACTAATTCTTACTTTGCCTTGCACTGAAGCCCCGCCCCATTCATACACAGATATCTCTCATTCATGAAACCACCCACCTGTAAAGTGGCCCTCAGGGGCCCCACATTAATGACTCCACTATAGCCTTTCCTGGAGCCCCTCAATTTTGATGCCACCCACCTTCTCTGTAGAGTGGCCCTCAGGGGCCCCACAGTAAGGATTCAACCACTCCCTTGTTGTGCAATGACCCCACCCCCATTTACATCAACCCTGCCTTCCTGGGGCCCCTTAATTAAGAAACCACCCACCAGCTCCGAACAGTGGCCCATGGGGGCCCCCCACACTGTAAGTGACCCCACATTAACGACACCCCTGACTTTTGTGGCTCCTAGAGGCCCCTCAATTATGATGCCACTCACTGCTCAGTGCAGTGGCCCTCAGGGGCCCCCACATTCATAATTCTAGCACATCAGCTTGTACTGTGAACCCACATTTATACCACCCCCTTAACTATGGTGCCACCCACCCCATAGAGTGCCCCTCAGGAACCCACATTAACATTCCCCCGCCCCCCCCCCCCCCCCCCCCATTCCTACATTCCCTGTGGCCCTTAGGGGCCCCTCACCTACATATAGAGTGGGCCTCAGATTAACGATTCCACCAATTTCCTTATACAGGGAACCCCCATTACACCCCCTCCCCTGTGGCACTTGAGGGCCCCTTAATTATGATGCCACTCACCTGCTCCGCACAGTGGCCCTCAGGGGCCCCACATTCCTGATTCTACCAATCCAACTTTCACTATGACTCCACATTTATGCCACCCCCCCTTACCTATGGTGCCACCCACCCGAGGAGTGGCCCTCAGGGGCCCCACCATTTACACCACCCCTACCTTCCCTGTGGCCCCTCACCCACCTTTCCTGTGGCCCTTAGGGGCCCCTCACCCACCTGTACAGTGGCACTCAAGGGGCCCCAGATTATTGACTCCATCAATTTCCTTGTACAGGAAATGCCGCCCACCTACTGCGGACAGTGTACCTCAGGGGCCCCTCATTCCTGATAGTACCACTCCTACTTTGTACGGGGCCCCATGTTCATACCTCCCTTTCCTGTGGCCCTTAGGGGCCCCTATCCCACCTGTACAGTGGTCCTCAGGGGCCCCCCAGATTAATGACTCCTCCAATTTTCTTGTACAGTGAACCCCTATTACACCCCCTGCCTTCCCTGTGGGTCCCCCCCAATTATGATGCAACCCACCTGCTCCACTCAGTGGCCCCCAGGGGCCCCACATCCATTATGCCACCATTTTCCTTGTACATTTATACCACCCACTCCCTTTCCTGGGGCCCTTTTAATTACGGTGCCTTGTTCAGGGGCTCCTCGTGCATGAGGCCCCGCCCTGTGGCCCTCAGGGGCCCCACATTTCAAGGTGGAACCTGCCCACATTTATTTCACCCCTCTATGTATGGACAGGGGCCTACAGTGGTCACCCCCTTCCTTGTCTTCTCCTGTGGCCCTCAGGGGCCCCTCCTCCATGTCCAGTCCTGACACCCCCCAGTCTGGGCCCGCCCCCCCGTTATGATAGGGCCCCGCAGGGCGGACACTCACTAAGCACGAGCACCGGGCGGCCCATCATGGTGTCGGTCGATCTGGGATCGGAGGATCCGGTCGGCGGAGAATCTTCTGGAGAAAGAAAAGCGCTGAGCCGCCTCCTGATCGCACACTACCCTCGCCGCTCCGCGGTCTCAGCCAATCACAGCCGCCGACGGCGCAACTCCACCAATCCCCCGCCGGGGGCGGGGCCGTCGGGGCTAGGCTGAGCGAGCTTGGTTGACCCCGCACCATCCGTTGGAAGCCGCATGGCAGCCATTGGCGCAGCGCGCGTGCGCGGGCCCGTGACGCGGCGCGTTGCATGCCGGGAGTTGTAGTCCATGCCATGGAAATCTACAATCATTGCCTAGCAACAGACCAGGGGCTCCTATAGAGAAGTATAGGCCGCCGGGATGGATGCTGGGAGTTGTAGTTTTTCCTGGTCTCCTGTCATTGGCTGCTGGTGACAACTTCTAGTGACTAAATTAGGGCAGAGAGGGAGTAATGAATGAATGGGGAGAGGCGGGGGAGGGCTCAATACAGCCATATGGAGGGCAGAGGAGTCACCCCATGTCGAGGATTTCTGAATAAAATGAAGGGTGACCCCAGAGGGGCAACAGAACACTGACACCTGGTGGTCACATTATTGTGAAAAATATCCTGCATTACCGAAACTGAGGACCATAGAAAGTTCCTGAGGACCCTAGAAGGTTCTGAGAGCCATAGAAAGTTCCAACCATGGACCATAGAAGGTTCCAAGTGAGGACCATAGAAGGTTCTAACCGAGGCCCATAGAAGGTTCCAACTGAGGACCCTAGAGGGTTCCAACCGAGGACTATAGAAGGTTCCAACTGAGAGCCATAGAAGGTTCCAACTAAGAACCATAGAAAGTTCTAACTGAGGACCATAGACGGTTCAAACTGAGGACCATAGACGGTTCAAACTGAGGACCATAGACGGTTCAAACTGAGGACCATAGATGGTTCTGAGAGCCATAGAAAGTTCCAACCGAGCCCATAGAAAGTTCCAACTGAGAGCCATAGAAGGTTCTAACTGAGAGCCATAGAAGGTTCTAACTGAGGACCATAGACGGTTCTGAGAGCCATAGAAAGTCATAGAAGGTTCTAACCGAGGCCCATAGAAGGCTCTAACCGAGGGCCATAGAAGGTTCCAACTGAGGACCCTAGAAGGTTCCAACTGAGGACCATAGAAGGGTCCAACTGAGAGCCATAGAAGGTTCCAACCAAGGACCATAGAAGGTTCTAACCGAGGCCCATAGAAGGCTCTAAACCGAGGACCATAGAAGGTTCCAACTGAGAGCCATAGAAGGTTCTAACTGAGGACCATAGAAGGTTCTAACTGAGGACCATAGACGGTTCTGAGAGCCATAGAAAGTTCCAATCATGGACTATAGAAGGTTCTAACTTGGGACTATAAAAGGTTCTAACTGAGGACCCTAGAAGGTTCCAACCTGAGGACCATAGAAGGTTCCAACCTGAGGACCATAGAAGGTTCCAACTGAGAGCCATAGAAGGTTCCAACCGACGACAATAGAAGGTTCTAACTAAGAGAGCCAAATGAGGACCCTAGAAGGTTCCAATTGAGAGCCATAGAAGGACCATAGAAGGTTCCAACTGAGAGCCATAGAAGGTTCCAACCGAGGACCATAGAAGGTTCCAACTGAGAGCCATAGAAGGCTGAAACTCCCTAGAAGGTTCCAACCGAGGACCATAGAAGGTTCCAACCGAGGACCATATTTTTATTTATTTTTTGTTCGGTTTGGGTTTTTATTTCTTCTACTTCTTCTTCTTTTATAATAATAATAATGTATTTTTTGTTTGGTTTGGGGGTTTTATTTTTTTTTATTATTATTATTACTGGTAATAATATTAATATTAATGATAATAATAATAATAATAATAATAAAACCCCAAAACCAAACAAAAATACATTATTATTTATTATTATTTTTATTTATTTTTTGTTCGGGTTTTATTTCTTCTTCTTCTTATTATTATTATTATTTATTAATAATAATAATCTATTTTTTTGTTTGGCTTTTTATTTTTTATTATTATGACTATAAATTATCATTTTTTTTTCATAATGGTAAGAATAGTAATGACATTGGGGGATCCAGCAGGTGGCAGCAGAGAGGAGGGACCTCTAAATCTCCAGACAGAGCGGGCACGACTACACTTCCCATGATTCTTGGCGGCGGTCAGGCCGGATATCCGGTTTGGAGGAGGGGTTGACGTGTCTCTCAATTTGGTGATCTGTAGATTGGAGTCACTCAGAGCCGGGAGCGGAGAGAGGTGAGGGGGTGTTGGGGGCTCCCGGGCCCCTGTGTGTTAGTTGCCTGAGAGCCATTCATATCCAGGGGCCCCTCTGTACAGTTATAGGGCCACTCTTATTCAGGAGCCCTCTCTTCTCCATTCATTACAAGCGGGCATGTGTATTCCAGGGGCCCCTCTCTGCAGTCATAGGGCCTCATATTCCAGGGGCCCCTCCATGCAGTCCTAGGGCCTAATATATTCCGGGGGCACCTATATGTTTTTACCATCTGTTATCTGGGGCCCCCCTCTGTTTGGTGATGGGACCCTTTGTATTCTGGAGGTCCCTGTGGATCTGCTAGTCACTGTTCTTATATAGGGGCCCCTCTGTGTACTGACAGGTGGCCCCTGCGTATACTGATGGTACCCTATTTATTATAGTTACTCTGGAGTCCATGTCTAATGGCTGCCCGCTATTCTCAGGGGCCCCCACTCTTGCAGTGGGGCCCCAACTATGATAGCTTTCTTGCCCTGGGGGGCTGTCCTAAACAGTTGGGGGCAGTACTAAGCCTCCCCCCCTTCCGGTCCGGACGCTTCCCCCCCCCCCCCCTTCCCGGTCCGGACGCTTCCCCCCCCCCCCCCCTTTCCCCGGTCCGGACGCTTCCCCCCCCCCCTTCCCGGTCCGGACGTTTTCCCCTCCCCTTCCCGGTCCCCAGGACGGTCGCTTCCCCCCCCCCCCCCCCCTCCCCCGGTCCGGACGCTTCCCCCCCCCCCCCTTCCCGGTCCGGACGCTCCCCCCCCCCTTCCGGTCCGGTCCGGACGCTCCCCCCCCCCCCTTTCCCGGTCCGGACGCTCCCCCCCCCCCGGTCCGGACGCCCCCCTCCCCCCTCCCCCCCCCGGTCCGGACGCTCCCCCGGACCCTTTTCCGGTCCGGACGCCCCCCCCTTTCCGGTCCGGACGCCCCCCCCCCCCTTCCGGTCCGGACGCTCCCCCCCCCGGTTCCGGACCGGACGCTTCCCCCCCCCCCCCTTCCGGTCCGGACGCTCCCCCCCCCCCTTTCCCGGTCCGGACGCTCCCCCCCCCCCTTCCGGTCCGGACGCTCCCCCCCCCTTTCCGGTCCGGACGCTCCCCCTTTCCGGTCCGGACGCTCCCCCCTTTCCGGTCCGGACGCTCCCCCCCTTTCCGGTTCCGGACGCTCCCCCCCCCCTTTCCGTCCGGACGCTCCCCCCCCCCCCCCGCCCCTTTCCGGTCCGGACGCTCCCCCCCCCCCCCCCCCCCCCCCTTTCCGGTCCGGGCGCTCCCCCCCCCCCCCCCCTTTCCGGTCCGGGGCGCTCCCCCCCCTTTCCCGGCCCGGACGCTTCCCCCTCCCCCTTTCCGGTCTGGATGCTCCCCCCCAATCTTCTTGTCCAGGCCAATTTTCAGCGCTGTCACACTTTGAATGACAATTGCGCGGTTTTGCATGCAACACTGTACCCATATGAATTTTTTAGCATTTTTTTGAAACGGATAAAGCTTTATTTTGGTGGTATTTATTCCTCGCTGGGATTTTTATTTTATTTTTTATTGCTATATAAATGAAAAAGTTCAAAAATTTAGAAAGTATTTTTTTAATAAAATTTTGCTAATATTTCATCATAAATCTTGGCCAAAATTTTATACAGTTATCTTTTTAATATAAAAAATAAAAAATAACCCAAATTAGTTTATAACCAAAAATTATATATTTTTTCCAAATTTTTTTTTTTTTTTTACATTTTTATTTTACTTTTTTTAATAATATTTTTTTTGTTTTGTTTTGTTTTTTTTTACATCCTGTCACCCTAGCAGTAGTGTCACCATGGTGACGCTGTACTACTTGTGGGGGGTGATGAAGATTTTTTTTTTTTTTTTTTACACTGATTGCTTTTATGCCATAAAGGCTGTAACATCAATCATTTCTCCTTCTCTCTGCATTCCTGCAGCCATTGAGAAATACTGTGTGAGCTGTGATTGGTCACAGCTTGTCACATGGTACAAGACTGTTGTGAATGGCCCTGTACCATGTGACCTCTGTGATCATTCACAGATTTCACACGTAGTAAGCAATGATGTCAGAAGTGACATCTTGCTTACTACTTTGCATGTGATCACTGATTGGCCAATCAGTGATCACATGATCGGGACCTCGCGCAGAGGTCTCGTACGATGATCGGACACAGCGGGCACCAGATTGTGGTTGCGGGGCCCTGTGTCTCAGGTCGCTGTCCCAGTCGCCGTCCCCGTGTCCCGTTCGCCGTCCCCGTGTCCCGGTTCGCCGTCCCCGTGTCCCGGTTCGCCGTCCCCGTTCGTCCCGTGTCCCGGTTCGCCGTCCCCGTGTCCCGGTTCGCCGTCCCCGTGTCCCGGTTCGCCGTCCCCGTGTCCCGGTTCGCCGTCCCCGTGTCCCGGTTCGCCGTCCCCGTGTCCCGGTTCGCCGTCCCCGTGTCCCGGTTCCCGTCCCCGTGTTCGGTTCGCCGTCCCCGTGTCCCGGTTCGCCGTCCCCGTGTCCCGGTTCGCCGTCCCCGTGTCCCGGTTCGCCGTCCCCGTGTCCCGGTTCGCCGTCCCCTGTGTCCCGGATCTCCGTCCCGTGTGTAACTGGTGGTATTTATAGAAAGATCTCCACAACGCTTCAAAGAAAAGCAAAACACTGCCCGGATCTCCGTCCCCGTGTCCCGGATCTCCCGTCCCCGTGTCCCGGATCTCCGTCCCCGTGTCCCGGATCTCCGTCCCCGTGTCCCGGATCTCCGTCCCCGTGTCCCGGATCTCCGTCCCCGTGTCCCGGATCTCCGTCCCCGTGTCCCGTTCTCCCCCCGTGTCCCGGTTCGCCGTCCCCGTGTCCCGGTTCGCCGTCCCCGTGTCCCGGTTCGCCGTCCCCGTGTCCCGGTTCGCCGTCCCCGTGTCCCGGTTCGCCGTCCCCGTGTCCCGGTTCGCCGTCCCCGTGTCCCGGTTCGCCGTCCCCGTGTCCCGGTTCGCCGTCCCCGTGTCCCGGTTTCGCCGTCCCCGTGTCCCGGTTCGCCGTCCCCGTGTCCCGGTTCGCCGTCCCCGTGTCCCGGTTCGCCGTCCCCGTGTCCCGGTTCGCCGTCCCCGTGTCCCGGTTCGCCGTCCCCGTGTGTCCCGGTTCGCCGTCCCCGTGTCCCGGTTCGCCGTCCCCGTGTCCCGTGTCCCGGATCTCCGTCCCCGTGTCCCCGATCTCGTCCCCGTGTCCCGGATCTCCGTCCCCCGTGTGTCCCGGATTCTCCGTCCCCGTGTCCCGGATCTCCGTCCCCGTGTCCCGGATCTCCGTCCCCGTGTCCCGGATCTCCTGTCCCCGTGTCCCCGTTCGCTGTCCCCGTGTCCCCGTTCGCTGTCCCCGTTCGCCGGCCCCGTGTCCCGGTTCGCCGTCCCCGTGTCCCGGTTCGCCGTCCCCGTGTCCCGGTTCGCCGTCCCCGTGTCCCGGTTCGCCGGCCCCGTGTCCCGGTTCGCCGGCCCCGTGTCCCGGTTCGCCGGCCCCGTGTCCCGGTTCGCCGGTGCCCCGTGTCCCGGTTCGCCGGCCCCGTGTCCCGGTTCGTTGGCCCCGTGTCCCGGTTCGCCGTGTCCCGGTTTCGCCGTGTCCCGGTTCGCCGTCCCCGTGTCCCGGTTCGCCGTCCCCGTGTCCCGGGTCTCCGTCCCCGTGTCCCGGTTCGCCGGCCCCGTGTCCCGGTTCGCCGGCCCCGTGTCCCGGTTCGCCGGCCCCGTGTCCCGGTTCGCCGGCCCCGTGTCCCGGTTCGCCGGCCCCGTGTCCCGGGTCGCCGTCCCCGTGTCCCGGGTCGCCGGCCCGTGTCCCGGGTCGCGGCCCCGTGTCCCGGGTCGCCGGCCCCGTGTCTCGGGTCTCCGTCCCCGTGTCTCGGGTCGCTGGCCCCGTGTCACAGTCGCTGGCCCCGTGTCTTATTGTTCTTTTTCTGTTTCTAGATGAAGACTGTCCTGGTTGCGTTTGCGGTCCTGCTGGCCCTCGGGCACTGCGAGGAGGGGGCCCGGCTCCTGGCCTCCAAGTCTCTGCTGAACCGATATGCGGTGGAGGGGAAGGACCTGACTCTGCAGTACAACATCTACAACGTGGGCTCCAGGTGGGTGTGGCTGTGCTCGGGGTGGACCCTGCCTGTGGGAGGAGCGATCTACCCTCCTACTATGGGGCTGGGCAGGGCTACGGTTTCCCAGCATCCCTTGCTCAGTAAACAGCATATTAGCATAAAGGGGGGGTGTGCCTAGCACAGAGTGGGCGGAGCTAGGAGAAGCACCACCCTGTAGTCTGAGCCGACCCCACGAACGTGACGGGGGGACAACACAGCCATCGTGCTCCGGGGGGCAGCCAAGCGTTGTCACAGAACTTATCTGAGGCCGACCGCCTGATCCCGGAAGACTGCGGAGGACCAAGATGGCGGCACCCGACCAACGCCTGCCGAACCTGATCAGCAGATTGCAGCAGGACAGGACTGGATCCGCAGGGCAGGTGGGTATCTGAATCCAGGACCACCTCGGATAACTTTAAGGGGGAGTGGTTCTGTAGTTCTGGGTGTCTCCATGCTGTGGGTGGGGGGGTGTCTCCAGGGTGGGGGGAGGGGTTCTGGGTGTGTCTCCATGCTCTGGTGGGGGGAGGGGTTCTGTCGTTCTGGGTGTCACCATGCTGTGGGTGGGGCTCTGTAGTTCTTGGTGTCTCCATGACGTAGGAGGGAGGGGTTCTGTAGTTCTAGGTGTCTCCATGCTCTGGGTGGGGTTCTGTAGTTCTGGGTGTGTCCCTGCTCTGGGTGGGGGGAGGGGGTCGCATCGATCTGACAGATTCGGGGTCATGCTCTTCTTCTCTTCCAGCGCGGCTCTGGACGTGGAGCTCTCAGACGATTCCTTCCCCCCGGAGGATTTCGGGATTGTGGCCGGCATGCTGAACGTGAAATGGGACAGAATCGCCCCGTATCCTTCCACCTCGTCCTGTGTCCGTTCCTCTCATGCAGGGGGGACCCCAGACCTTCTACACAAGGGGCCACTTTACTGTCCTTCAGATATCACGGGGACCAGGCTTTGGCCAGCGGGAGTAGAAAATATCCTGGTGTCAGTGGGAGGAATAGTGCCCCATCATTGGTGTCAGTGGGAGGAATAGTGCCCCATCATTGGTGTCAGTGGGAGGAATAGTGCCCCATCATTGGTGTCAGTGGAAGGAATAGTGCCCCATCATTGGTATCAGTGGGAGGAAATATGCCCCATCATTGGTGTCAGTGGGAGGAATAGTGCCCCATCATTGGTGTCAGTGGGAGGAATAGTGCCCCATCATTGGTGTCAGTGGGAGGAATAGTGCCCCATCATTGGTGTCAGTGGGAGGAATAGTGCCCCATCATTGGTGTCAGTGGGAGGAATAGTGCCCCATCATTGGTGTCAGTGGGAGGAATAGTGCCCCATCATTGGTGTCAGTGGGAGGAATAGTGCCCCATCATTGGTGTCAGGGGGAGGAATAGTGCCCCATCATTGGTGTCAGTGGGAGGAATAGTGCCCCATCATTGGTATCAGTGGGAGGAATAGTGCCCCGTCATTGGTGTCAGGGGGAGGAATAGTGCCCCGTCATTGGTGTCAGTGGGAGGAATAGTGCCCCCGTCATTGGTATCAGTGGGAGGAATAGTGCCCCGTCATTGCTGTCGGGGGAGGAATAGTGCCCCGTCATTGGTGTCGGTGGGAAGAATAGTGCCCCATCATTGGTGTCGGTGGGAGGAATAGTGCCCCATCATTGGTGTCAGTGGGAGGAACAGTGCCCCATCATTGGTGTCAGTGGGAGGAATAGTGCCCCATCATTGGTGTCAGTGGGAGGAATAGTGCCCCATCATTGGTGTCAGTGGGAGGAATAGTGCCCCATCATTGGTGTCAGTGGGAGGAAAAGTGCCCCATCATTGGTGTCAGTGGGAGGAAAAGTGCCCCATCATTGGTATCGGTGGGAGGAATAGTGCCCCATCATTGGTGTCGGTGGGGGGAATAGTGCCCCATCATTGGTGTCGGTGGGGGGAAAGTGCCCCATCATTGGTGTCGGTGGGGGGAATAGTGCCCCATCATTGGTGTCGGTGGGAGGAATAGTGCCCCATCATTGGTGTCAGTGGGAGGAATAGTGCCCCATCATTGGTGTCAGTGGGGGGAATAGTGCCCCATCATTGGTGTCAGTGGGGGGGAATAGTGCCCCATCATTGGTGTCAGTGGGAGGAAGAGTGACCAAAGGGCCGTATCTGCCCCCCGTCACAGTCTGGAGATCACTGCACTAATGTTTCCTCCTGTCACACACTCCACTTTCTCACTTTTCTTCACTTCCTTGTCACACCGCATGTCCTCCTTCAGCCTCGTTGTGTCCTTAATTCCCGATGTGCAGCGCCAGCAACGTCTCTCACACCGTGGTCCTGCGTCCTCTGAAAGCCGGCTACTTCAACTTCACTTCTGCCACCATCACCTACCTGGCTCAGGAGGGCGCTCAGGTTGTGGTGAGTACTCCAGTGTGTTCAGAGGTCGGACCTCCCCCATGGGTGTGGCTGTTATATCCTCTCTCCATCCTCCAGGTGTACCGGCTCCTCCCCTCCAGTCTTGCACAGGCGTAGCGGCTCCTCCCCTTCAGTCTTGCACAGGCGTAGCGGCTCCTCCCCTTCAGTCTTTGCAGAGGCGTAGCGGCTCCTCCCCTTCAGTCTTGCACTGGCGTAGCGGCTCCTCCCCTTCAGTCTTTGCACAGGCGTAGCGGCTCCTCCCCTTCAGTCTTTGCACAGGCGTAGCGGCTCCTCCCCTTCAGTCTTTGCGCAGGCGTAGCGGCTCCTCCCCTTCCGGTCTTGTGCAGGCGTAGCGGCTCCTCCCGTTCCGGTCTTGCACAGGCGTAGCGGCTCCTCCCGTCCGGTCTTGCGCAGGCGTAGCGGCTCCTCCCTTCGGTTTTGCACAGATGTAGCGGCCCTACCCCTTTTGTGAGGCGTAGCGGCTCCTCCCCTTAAAAACACATGTCTTGCGCGGCGTAGCGGCTCCCAGCACATGTATTGGTGTCTTGCGGAAGGCGTAGCGGCTCCTCCCCTTCGATTGGGCACAGATGCCGATCATGTGACGCAAAAAACAGAGCGGCTCACATGACCCTTTAAAAACCCCGTCCCGGCTTCTGAAACCACTTAAAGGCTCGGGAGGCGCTGGCGTGAAGAGGTTAAAAAGAAAATCACCCAATAGTTTGGTACAGCGGGGTGTCGTCCAATCGGGGCGTTCGTCTACTTCAAATGCGTTGCTGGTCTTTTTTTAAAATGGCGGTTTTCTCTCTTGACAGGTGGGGTACACCAGCGCCCCGGGACAAGGAGGAATTCTGGCTCAGCGTGAATTCGACCGCCGATTCTCCCGCACTTTGTAAGTGGTTACGTTTTGGTCTTTTACCCTTGGTGTCACTCGGGGGAGGGGAAGTGGGTGTGGTTGAAGCAGCTTGGGGCGGGTGGTATTACCCATCATCAGCCTTCCACAGCCATCTTGAGCCCCGCCTTCATTTTAACTGCGGGGGGGACTTGTGCCCCTTTGTTGGTGTCACTGGGGGGGGACACTTGTGCCCCCGGTTGGTGTCAAGGGGGACTTGTGCCCCTTTGTTGGTGTCACTGGGGGGGACTTGTGCCCCTTTGTTGGTGTCACTGGGGGGGACTTGTGCCCCTTTGTTGGTGTCACTGGGGGGGACTTGTGCCCCTTTGTTGGTGTCACTGGGGGGGACTTGTGCCCCTTTGTTGGTGTCACTGGGGGGGACTTGTGCCCCTTTGTTGGTGTCACTGGGGGGGGACTTGTGCCCCTTTGTTGGTGTCACTGGGGGGGGACTTGTGGGTTGTTGGTGTCACTGGGGGGGACTTGTGCCCCTTACCCATCATCAGCCTTCCACACTTGAGCCCCTTCATTTGGTCACTGGGAAAAATTGGGGACTTGTGCCCCCTTTGTTGGTGTCACTGGGGGGGGCCCTTTGTGGTGTCACCTTTGTTTGGGCCCACTTTGTTGGTGTCACTGGGAAAAATTGTGCCCCTTTGTTGGTGTCACTGGGAAAAATTGGGCCCCTTCATTGGTGGCAGTGGGGGGAATTTTGCCCCATTGCTGGTATCAGGGGATAAAATAGTACCCCCAGGGGCCGGATAAAAGCAATCAAAGGGCCACATCTGGCCCCAGGGCCACTGTTGGAGACCACTGCCTTAGACTGATCAGCAGATTGCACAGCTAAAGTCTGCAGCACCCAGTGACCAGCAGGAATTCATGTCTAAAGGGATGTCCGGGATGGGTGCCTGCCGACCCTTTCCCAGAGGCTCAACCGTACTGCAGAGCAAAAACAGCGTGATGACGTCACTGCGTCTCAGAAGACCTATTGCTTGAAAACCAAATGAATGGATAGAATTTAATTTGCATGTTTGGTGGGGGGAAGGGAAAGTATTCTATGTGTGCGTTGCCACTGTGGATGCCTTGCAGCAGATGTTCCATAGGATGTATATTATTAAAAAAGAAAATTAGAAAAAAAAAAAGCAAATTGAAGGAAAAAAAAAAAATTGTATTAACCCCTCGCCTACCGGGCACTTGTACCCCCTTATTTACCAGGCCAATTTTCAGCTTTCAGCGCTGCCGCACTTTGATTGACAATTGCGCGGTCATGCAACATTGTACCCATATGAAATTTTGATCATTTTTTTCTCACAAATAGAGCTTTCTTTTGGTGGTATTTAATCCCCGCTGGGCGCTTTACTTTTTGCGCTATAAATAAAAAAAAGTGCAAAAAATTTGAAAAAAAAAAAAAAAAAGTTCTTTGTTTCTATTATAAAATTTTTCAAACAGGTATTTTTTTTCTCCTTCACTGATGTGCGTTGATGAGGCAGCACTGATGGGCACTGATAGGCGGCACTGATGGGGCACTGATAGGCGGCATGATGAGGTGGCACGGATAGGCGGCACTGATAGGTGACACTGATGGGTACTGATAGACGGCACTGACTGGCATCACTGCTGGGGCACTGACTGGAGGCACTGACTGGCGGCACTGACTGGCAGCACTGATGCATGGGGGCTGCACTGGTGGGCGGCACAGGTGGGTGGCTGGTGGGCACAGGTGGGTGGGGGCACAGGTGGGTGGCACTTCTGGCACACAGGGGGTGGCACTGCAGAGTGGCACAGGTGGGTGGCACTGCAGAGTGGCACAGGTGGGTGGCACTGGGGGCACAGGTGGGTGGGCACAGGTGGGTGGCACTTCTGGGCACAGGTGGGTGGCACTGCAGAGTGGCACAGGTGGGTGATCTGCTGACACAGGTGGGCGGAGCTAGTGGGCGCACTGCTGGGCACAGGTGGGCGGAACTTGCGGGTGTGGCACTGCTGGGCACCAATCATCAGGGCACTGATGATCGGTGCCGATCCCCACTCTGACAACTGCCGGTTCTCGGCAGTACTTTCCTCACGATCTGACAGCGTGAGGAAAGTGCAGCCGAGAACCGGCACTTGCATTTCCCCTGTGATCAGCGTGTCATTGGACACCGCTGATCACGTGGTAAAAGGCCGCTGTGATTGGCCTTTTACCACATCACGTGATCAGCTGTGTCCGTAGGACACAGCGATCACGGAGATCGCCCGGTGCGCGCCCCCCTGGGGCGCGCAGGGAAGCGCGTTCTGGGAGCACGTCATATGACGTCCACTCAGAACTGGCCGGCCGCGGTGAAGCCGTCATTCGGCTATCTGCGGTCGGCAGGTAGTTAAATAAATATAAAAATTAATAATAATAAAATATATATAATTTATAGAAGAATTTAATTAGCATTTTTGGTGGGGGGAAGGGAAAGTATTATATATATGTACGTTGCCACTGTGGATGCCTTGCAGCAGATGTTCCGTAGGATGAATATTATTAAAAAAAAAAAAAAAATTAGAAAAAAAAACAAATTGAAGAAAAAAAAAAAATGAATTAAAAATTAGAAAAACTAAAAATTAATGATAAAATATATATATTTATAGAAGAAATTTAATTAGCATTTTTGGTGGGGGGAAGGGAAAGTATTCTATGTGTACGCTGCCACTGTGGATGCCTTGCAGCAGATGTTCCATAGGATGAATATTATTAAAAAAAAAATAATTAGAAAAAAAAAACAAATTGAAGGAAAAAAAATAAAAATGAATTAAATAAAAATTAAAAAAATAAAAATTAATAATAAAATATATATAATTGATAGAAGAATTTAATTTGCATTTTTGGTGGGGGGAAGGTATTATATGTGTACGTTGCCACTATAGATGCTTTGCAGAAGATGTTGCATAGGATGTACATTATTAAAAAAAATAGAGAAAAAATAAATAAAAAATATATAAAAATAAAATAATAATAATAAAAAAATACTAATAATAATTTGAATAAATAACAATCCTGATCCCACAGGCTGCAGTTAGTCTCTAGGGCTCAGGGCGGGGACACGGGTTGCCTAGCCCAGCTGCATGGGGCTACTAAATCCTCGGGGTCACCCTTTTATCCTGACTTCTTTTTATCATCACGTAGCTGGACTGGGCAGCTTTTGGGGTGATGACTCTGCCCTCCATCGGGATCCCTCTCCTACTCTGGTTCTCCAGCAAGAGGAAGTACGACACCCCTAAACCCAAGAAGAACTGAGACGCCAACTTCCCCGACACCCGGGACTCTTTTCTATGAACAGTTGTCACCACGCTGCGCCAGAAAATCAATCATTCTCTTTTTGGACCGCCCACCTCCTGAAGATCCAGATCGTTCATCCATTTTTATTCTTTACGGAGCGGTCACTGGGGGTCCACACATCCTCTCCGCTGCAACTGGCAATGAATTCCGATCGCGCTGGGCGTTTCCTGTTGGCGAGCGGCGATCATTCGATGGAGAGTTCCAGGTGATGGGTATCGGTCCTGTCCAGGGTGCCGAGCCAACAAATTGGACATTTTTTTGTCAATTTTTAAATTTTTTTTTTTTTTAAGTTTCCCCGCACTATTAGCAGAGGGACCACCGATCACCCCGCGACAAATCTTCCCTTCTGCGTCATCGGGAGTGCCGCCGGATTTTACCGGCTCAGAAGACATCTGTAGGATTCCGAAAATCCCATTGTGATGGGCGCCGGGTTCTGGGAGCGACCGTTCTATTCAGGGAAATCTTATGCCGAGAACAATGGAGGGTTTTTCTAATAAAATTTGAATAACTCCAATATCTGCGTCTGTGTGATTTATAGTATCGTTATTGAACCAAAATACATCGAACCTTTTATGTCATCACAGACAGAAAACCCAAAAATTTGTACACAAAAAAAAAATATATATTGTATATATATATATATATATATATATATATATACAGTACAGGGGGGCAAAAAAGTATTTAGTCCCCACCAATGGTGCAAGTTCCCCCCACTTACAAAGATGAGAGAGGCCTGTAATTGGCATCATAGGGAGACCTCAACTATGAGAGACAAAATGAGACAACAAATCCAGACAATCTCATTGGCTGATCTGGAAAGAATTTATTTGCAAATTATGGTGGAAAATAAGTATTTGGTCGCCTACAAACAAGCGAGATTTCTGGCTCTCACAGACCTGGACCTTCTTCTTTAAGAGGCTCCTCTGTCCTGCACTCATTACCTGTATCAATGGCACCTGTTTGAACTTGTTATCAGTATAAAAGACACCTGTCCACAACCTCAAACAGTCACACTCCAAACTCCACTATGGGGAAGACCAATGAGCTGTCGAATGACACCAGAAACAAAATGGTAGACCTGCACCAGGCTGGGAAGACTGAATCTGCAATAGGCAAGCAGCTTGGTGTGAACAAATCAACTGTGGGAGCAATAATTAGAAAATGGAAGACATACAAGACCACTGATAATCTCCCTCCATCTGGGGCTCCCACGCAAGATCTCACCCCGTGGGGTCAAAATGATCACAAGAACGGTGAGCAGAAATCCCAGGAGCACACGGGGGGACCTAGTGAATGACCTGCAGAGAGCTGGGACCAACGTAACAAAGGCTACCATCAGTAACACACTACGCCGCCAGGGACTCAGATCCTGCAGTGCCAGACGTGTCCCCCTGCTGAAGCCAGTACATGTCCGGGGCCCGTCTGAAGTTTGCTAGAGAGCATTTGGATGATCCAGAAGAGGATTGGGAGAATGTCATATGAAACCAAAACAGAACTGTTTAGTAGAAACACAACTCGTCGTGTTTGGAGGAGAGAGAATGCTGAGTTGCATCCAAAGAACACCATACCTACTGTGAAGCATGGGGGTGGCAACATCATGCTTTGGGGCTGGCACCAGGACGACTGATCCATGTACAGGACAGAATGAATGGGGCCATGTATCGTGAGATTTTGAGTGCAAACCTCCTTCCATCAGCAAGGGCATTGAAGATGAAACGTGGCTGGGTCTTCCAAGATGACAATGATCCCAAACATACCGCCCGGGCAACGAAGGAGTGGCTTCGTAAGAAGCATTTCAAGGTCCTGGAGTGGCCTAGCCAGTCTCCAGATCTCAACCCCATAGAAAACCTTTGGAGGGAGTTGAAAGTCCGTGTTGCCCAGCGACAGCCCCAAAACATCACTGCTCAAGAGGAGATCTGCATGGAGGAGGAGATCTGCATGGAGGATGGGCCAACATACCAGCAACAGTGTGTGCCAACCTTGTGAGGACTTCCAGGAAACGTCTGACCTCTGTCATTGCCAACAAAGGATATATAACAAAGTATTGAGAGGAACTTTTTCATATTCACCAAATACTTATTTTCCACCATAATTTGCAAATAAATTCTTTCCAGATCAGCCAATGAGATTGTCTGGATTTGTTTTCTCATTTTGTCTCTCATAGTTGAGGTCTCCCTATGATGCCAATTTACAGGCCTCTCTCATCTCTGTAAGTGGGAGAACTTGTACAATTGGTGGGGACTAAATACCTGCCCCACTGTATATATATATATATACATTGTATACAGTCCGGGGGAGGGGGGGACTCACTTCTGGAAGATACTGTATATATATATATTATTATATTTTTTTTTTTTTACATCTATAAAATATATGTGTAAACACAAAGGGGAAAAAAATAAACAAAGAAAAACAATTATTTAAAAAAAAAAATGTTTTTTTACTATATATATATATATAAATTTTTTTTTTTCTTTCTTTTTGTGTTTTTATATATGTAAAAAAAAAAAAATATATGTAGCTATATTATTTTATATATAAGATATATTATACAGAGTGACATCACATCACCGCCCTCCGGATATAAGAATATATTATACAGAGTGACATCACCGCCCTCCGGATATAAGATAATTATACAGAGTGACATCACCGCCCTCCAGATATAAGATATATTATACAGAGTGACATCACCGCCCCCTCCAGATATAAGATATATTATACAGGAGTGACATCACCGCCCTCCGGATAAAGATATATTATACAGAGTGACATCACCGCCCTCCAGATATAAGATATATTATACAGAGTGACATCACCGCCCTCCAGATATAAGATATATTATACAGAGTGACATCACCGCCCTCCCAGATATAAGATATATTATACAGAGTGACATCACCGCCCTCCCGGATATAAGATATATTATACAGAGTGACATCACCGCCCTCCAGATATAAGATATATTATACAGAGTGACATCACCGCCCCCTCCGGATAGATATATTATACAGAGTGACAGCCCTCCAGATATAAGATATCACCAGAGTGACATCACCGCCCTCCAGATATAAGATATATTATACAGAGTGACATCACCGCCCTCCAGATATAAGATATATTATACAGAGTGACATCACCGCCCTCCATATAAGATATATTATACAGAGTGACATCACCGCCCTCCAGATATAAGATATATTATACAGAGTGACATCACCGCCCTCCAGATATAAGATATATTATACAGAGTGACATCACCGCCCCCTCCAGATATAAGATATATTATAGAGTGACATCACCGCCCTCCGATATAAAGATATATTATACAGAGTGACATCACCGCCCTCCAGATATAAGATATATTATACAGAGTGACATCACCGCCCTCCAGATATAAGATATATTATACAGAGTGACATCACCGCCTCCAGATATAAGATATATTATACAGAGTGACATCACCGCCCTCCAGATATAAGATATATTATATACAGGAGTGACATCACCGCCGCCAGATATAAGATATATTATACAGAGTGACATCACCGCCCTCCAGATATAAGATATATTATACAGAGTGACATCACCGCCCTCCAGATATAAGATATATTATACAGAGTGACATCACCGCCCTCCGGATATAAGATATATTATACAGAGTGACATCACCGCCCTCCAGATATAAGATATATTATACAGAGTGACATCACCGCCCTCCGGATATAAGATATATTATACAGAGTGACATCACCGCCCCTCCGGATATAAGATATATTATACAGGGACATCATCACCGCCCTCCCAGATATAAGATATATTATACAGAGTGACATCACCGCCCTCCGGATATAAGATATATTATACAGAGTGACATCACCGCCCTCCAGATATAAGATATATTATACAGAGTGACATCACCGCCCTCCAGATATAAGATAATTATACAGAGTGACATCACCGCCCCCGGATATAAGAACTATATTATACAGATGACATCACACCCTCCAGATATATATAATTTTCATACAAGGAATCAACCTTCTCCAGATATGTATTACACATCACCTCATCCTGCCCGCCCTCCGAATAGAGCCATCCCCCGCCTGGGACAATGTGACCACCTCCAGATATAAGATATATTATACAGGAACTCACCGGGCAGATAGAAGATCGATCATTCACCATGACAGCGCATCTATAATAAATAGATAATATTCAGATGACATCCACATTGTATTCCAACGATCTTGCCCTGGGGGATCCTCTCCTCTGAAGGAATGACCCCACACATTTCCTTGCAGAATTCGTATAGGGAGACAGATCTGTGTCCTATAGAGCTGGGGGCCCATAAATGTCAGCACCCCCCCCCCCCCCCCCCCCACCCCCCCGAGGATCCAACCAACTTCAGGATAGGAAACCCCGTGTCACTCCACTGAGAAATATAGTCTTAGAAATTCATAGGGAAGCTGTAAAGCTGCTGGGAATCCAGGAAGTTGATGAGAGCGACTTTTTTTTTTTTTCTTCAGGTAAGCCTTTCACTGAGCCCGCCTTCTGAAGGGGGAGGAGTCTCAGGAGGCGGAGTCAGGACAGGAATCAGCAATTGATCGTGGGATATGTAGTCCTTAGAAATGGAAGGAATGCTGCAAAGCATGCTGGGAATTCAGGAAGTTGACAAGAGATTTTTTTCAGGTAAGCCTTTCACAGAGCCCGCCTTCTCAAGGAGGAGGAGTCTCAGTCAGGACAGGAATGGGACCATGGGATATGTAGTCCTTAGAAATAGAAGGGAAGCTGCAAAGCATGTTGGGAATTCAGGAAGTTGAAGGATGAGAAGAGATTTTTTTTTTTTTTCAGGTAAGCCTTTCACAGAGCCCGCCTTCTGAAGGGGGAGGAGTCTCAGGAGGCAGAGTCAGGACAGTTATGGGACCATGGGATATATAGTCCTTAGAAATGGA